TGCATGTAGTGACTAAGTAGGACACGAAGAAAGTCATGATTGGGCTGGGAAACAGAAGGTCTCCAGGGAAGATGTACAGAAACCTTGCTTAGTCTGCACTTTGAAAGAAACGAACATAGACCCTAACCAAATCTCCCAGGTGTGCTCTAACTCCTGCAAGTATAGCTGCCATACCCAGGGATTATTTTTGTGTTTTTAATTCGGTCCTCACCTCTATCCCAGACTCATCGAGTATTTCTTGAGTTGATGAGTGAACTGCGCCAAACAAATGTGATTTAAAGGCCAGTAACAATATGGCTAACATTCTGATGAGTACTGGTGCTTTGTCTAGCCAGCACACACAGAAAATATACCCTAAAGTGTCTTAAGCAACAGCCCTTTCTCTTGCTTGTGAGCCTGTATTTGGGGTAAGCTTTGGAAGGAATTCCTCTTTTCTCCTTAAAGTGGCACCAGCTGTAATTCAAATTCAAGACGATGTACTCATGGGGTGTGAAATTGGTGCTGAATATGTGTCAGTGTCAGTGTCACCAACTCTGTGGGAGTCCAGGCTCCACTCCATGATAGATGTCTCCATGGAGTAATTGTTAAGGCCGCTGAGTAAAGATGCCTTGTGGGCAGGTGGGTGCTGTGAACAGTGTTGTAGAACTCCAGGTCACTGACCTTCAATGATCTGATTCGGTAGTCATAGAGTCACCTCCACCATGGCTGTGAGTCCACTCGATTCTAAGAAGAGAAAACATATGTCCTGCTTTCCATTTGGAAATTGCTAGGAATGACAGACATTGCTAAGGAGTATGTGAGATGGAAACTACTGGGGACACTTTGGAACACATCTACTCCATAGTCCAAAATGGAAATTGTAATCTTTCACAAATCCAGTTTTTTCTCCAATGGTCCTGATCTAGTAAGTGACCCAACACTCTCCAGCAAAGCAAAGTTGTAGAAGCCACATTTAATATCTCTGTTCTCTGTTATTCTTTTTTTCTTTTCTTTCTTTTTTTTTTTTTTTTAGGTTTTCCGAGACAGGGTTTCTCTGTGTTGTTTTGGAGCCTGTCCTGGAACTGGCTCTGTAGACCAGGCTGGCCTCGAACTCACAGAGATCTGCCTGCCTCTGCCTCCCAAGTGCTAGGATTAAAGGCTTGCGCCACCAACTCCTGGCCTCTCTTATTCTTTTTAATCCTAAGTAATTTGCCCTTTAGTGTGCTTGTTGGCCACTGGCTCTGTAGTCCTCAAGTCCTTTATTCGACCAATGCCATGAGCTACCAGTTCATTCCCTCCCAGGTCAGTCTTACTGTGACAGTCCTCCAGTGGGCTTTACTTTGAGCCAACAGTCTTTCACTGTTTGATCTGGTGTGTGTGTGTGTGTGTGTGTGTGTGTGTGTGTGTGTATACACGCATGTGTGCTCACACACACATGTGTATTCCTATGTGGTCTAATAAACTCATTCACTGTATTCTTGGCTAATGTATGTCAGCCTGACATAGGCAGAGTCATTTTGGAGGAAAGGACTCTAGTTGAGAAAATGCCCCATCAGATAGACCTGTGAGCAAAACTGTGATGTGGAGGGCCCAGCTCACTGTAGCGGTCCTACCCCAGGCCTAGTGGTCTTGAGTGCTACAAGAAATCAGGCTCTGCAATCCATGAAAAGCAAACCAATAAGCAGCATTCCTCCATGGCCTCTGCTTCAGTTCATGCCCTGCCTTCTTTCAGTGGTGGAGTATGACCTGATATTTGTAAGTGGAAAAACCTTCCCCCCAAGTTGCTTGGTGTTTTACCACAGCAATAGGAAACCCTAAGACAGAAACTGGTAATAGACCATGAACTATTGGTATGACAGACCTGACTATGTGTTTTTGGGAGAATCATGGAAGCATTTTGGGACTTTGGGCTAGAAAAGCCATTGAGTGCTCAGAGCTTGATGAGAGATGGGAACTTAGAAGACAGTGCTGGAGGCAGTGCAGATGATGGAGACCTTTAGAAGACAGTGCTGGGGGCAGTGCAGATGATGGAGACCTTTAGAAGACAGTGCTGGGGGCAGTGCAGATAATGGAGACCTTTAGAAGACAGTGCTGGAGGCAGTGCAGATGATGGAGACCTTTAGAAGACAGTGCTGGGGGCAGTGCAGATGATGGAGACCTTTAGAAGACAGTGCTGGGGGCAGTGCAGATGATGGAGACCTTTAGAAGACAGTGCTGGGGGCAGTGCAGATGATGGAGACCTTTAGAAGACAGTGCTGGGGGCAGTGCAGATAATGGAGACCTTTAGAAGACAGTGCTGGGGGCAGTGCAGATGATGGAGACCATTAGAAGACAGTGCTGGGGGCAGTGCAGATAATGGAGACCTTTAGAGGACAGTGCTGGAGGCAGTGCAGATGATGGAGACATTTAGAAGACAGTGCTGGGGGCAGTGCAGATGATGGAGACCTTTAGAAGACAGTGCTGGGGCAGTGCAGATGATGGAGACTGTTAGAAGACAGTGCTGGAGGCAGTATAGATGATGGAGACCTTTAGAAGACAGTGCTGGGGGCAGTGCAGATGATGGAGACCTTTAGAAGACAGTGCTGGGGGCAGTGTAGATGATGGAGACATTGAGAAGACAGTGCTGGGGCAGTGCAGATGATGGAGACCTTTAGAAGACAGTGCTGAGGGCATGCAGATGATGGAGACCTTTAGAAGACAGTGCTGGGGGCAGTGCAGATGATGGAGACATTGAGAAGACAGTGCTGGGGGCAGTGCAGATGATGGAGACCTTTAGAAGACAGTGCTGGGGGCAGTGCAGATGATGGAGACATTTAGAAGACAGTGCTGGGGGCAGTGCAGATGATGGAGACATTGAGAAGACAGTGCTGGGGGCAGTGCAGATGATGGAGACATTGAGAAGACAGTGCTGGGGCAGTGCAGATGATGGAGACCTTTAGAAGACAGTGCTGGGGGCAGTGCAGATGATGGAGACCTTTAGAAGACAGTGCTGGGGGCAGTGCAGATGATGGAGACATTGAGAAGACAGTGCTGGGGCAGTGCAGATGATGGAGACTGTTAGAAGACAGTGCTGGGGGCATGCAGATGATGGAGACCTGTTCTTGTGGAGTTTTGGGAGGAAGTTTGAGAGTCCCTTAAAGACACTGTTGGAGCTGCTTGATGTTTTAATTAAGAACCACTAAAGTGAAACCTTTGTTTTTCTGGGACAATTGGTCTAAGTAAACTGGGGCTAAAGAGCCAGCTGTGATTTAGCATCTGTCCAGAGAGGGCGGGGGCTGCATCTTAGCTGGCAGCTGAACTTGGTAATGTGTAAGAGTGTCCCCCATGGCACTCCTGGTTCTGAAGGCATGAAGGGATTGTAGAAAGTAGATGAGACTTGGCCCTGTGTGATCCGGCTGGTTGCAGTAAAAGGCCCAGGATTGAAAGGTTATGAAGAAAAAGAGGCTTGGGACTGTATGTCAAGGTCAGAGTCCCTGAAGAGACCTCTAGGAGAGGCCATTAGTGAAAATATAGACTAGGGTCTCTTGCTATATCTGGGTATTTGGAGATACCAGTACCCATGGGATGACAACCAAGACAGCAGCAGCCCTGGAGTGGAGCTGGCCTAAGCCTAGGTGATAAGCTGTGTGTGCTGTGGATAACAGGCCCAAAAGACAGAGTAAGCTAGCTGCCAAGCCCTTCAGAGCCCAGAGGATCCTGTGTGGGTCAAGTACTGCGTGCTTTATACTGCTGAATTTTGAGTTTTCTTTGCTTGTGCCTGTGTCCTATTTCTTTCCTTTTGGAGTAAGAAAGTATTTAACTTACTTTGACTTTCTAGGGACCTACAGATGTGAGCCTGAACTTTTAAAACAGTTTTGGAATTTTACACAGAGATGCTAGTGTTTGAGAGACTGTGGATGTTTTAGAGAAGCATTGTAATTTTAGATTTATAGAGAGATTTTGAATATTTTAAAGAGATGTTGGGTTTTATAAGTATTTGAATTTGTAAAGACTGGGGTTTTAAAGTTCAAAATATTTTTTATGTTGTGATATTGATATTCATGTAAGATCTTGAGGATGAACAATAAAGGAAAGGTTATGGCTTAATGGTGATGTGGAAGTGTTGCTTTCTATCCTGTGTTAATCTCAGCAGTAGGAACCGTAAGTAAGATGGCAGCAGACTTCTTAAAACTACTAAAAGCCTTGCAATACTTCACCTGCGCATTTATTTGGATTTGAGCTCTGTTTGCATCTGCTCTCCTGGGAGAGCCCTAGAGCTCTGTTCTCTTTCCTGGCCCAGGGTTTTTGCGTACAGTCCTGCTAGTCCCTCTGTCTACCACATTCTATTAATTGTCCATGTTTGCATGAATATAAGTTTCTTAAGAAAGCCCAGGCTAGACCTTTGCCAAAAAATTTGAGGGTATCTATATGTTTTGTTCTGTCTGCATTACACTTTTAAGTGTTGGTGCTGTCTTTGTTTCTTTTCTTTGGTAGACTCTAAAATGTTCCATGAAGTAAAGCAACTGGTCTTGAATCTCAGAAGTCAAGCCAGTGCCTGACAGACACACAGTGAACACCCAGTACATGCCTATAAATGAATATGTCTAAGTATTCATATATAGATATTACATATTCATATGCTCACAAATTAATTTCTGAGTGTATGTATAGATTTTATGAACATTTTACACTTGCATAAGATCTATAAATGGTTGGATTTTGTACCTGAGAACCTGTACATGTTTATGATAAATTCTCATCTGTTGAATTTTCATCTGTTGTTTAATATATAGCACATTAAACCTGGGTGTGGTAGTTCATGCCTTTAATCTCAGCATCTCAGCACTCAGGAGGCAGAGGCAGGTGGGTTTCTACGCAAGCTTGGTCTTCAGAGCAAGTTCCAGGCCACACAGTGAAATCCTGCCTCAAAAATAAAATTGAATAAAACTAAATATATTAAGATGCAGCACAGCAGACACTGTTCTGGCTCAGAGTTGCTGTGATGTTTGTCTGCTGGCTGACTACTCTCCCTCTTATTCAAGGTAAGGAGTCAGCAGCCATGAAAACCGATCTCTTGAGGGCCAGGAACATGAAAAGGTACATCAACCAGCTGACTGTGGCAAAGAAGCAGTGTGAGAAGAGAATCCGAATCCTGGGGGGTCCTGCCTATGACCAGCAAGAAGATGGGGCCTTGGAAGAAGGGGAAGGGCCTCAGAGCCAAAAGGTAGGACCCGTAGTTTCCCGTTTGACCATATCAGTTTATTATAAACAGTGTGAATACATGCATATTCTTTGCCACTTTACTGTTTTAGACATGCTTCATTGCTACAGGCTCACGTTGTTGGTTTCATGAGCAAAAAGCTGTTACTGGGTGTCCTTGAATTCTGTAAATGATAGGTGATGATAGACAGTGTAAAATCTGTGTATGTGTGCAAATGCCCCTGTGTGTGTGCATATGTCTGTGCATGTGTGCACATGCCCATGCATGTGTGCACATGCCTCTGTGTGTGTGTGTGTGCACATGCCCATGTATGTGTGCACATGCCCATATATGTGTGCACATGTCCGTGTATGTGTGCACATGTCTGTGTATGTGTGCACATGTCTGTGTATGTGTGCACATGTCTCTGTGTTTGTGTGTGTGTATGTGTACAAATGCCCCTGTGTGTGTGCATATGTCTGTGTATGTGTGCACATGCCCATGTATGTGTGCACATGTCTGTGTATGTGTGCACATGCCCATGTATGTGTTTTCCATCCTTCTTTTCTCCACTCATCTCCACTTCAAGAGAAACGTTTTGCAGAGCCTAAATTGCAGTCATCCATTATTGACTAGATAAAAAGTTCCACCTAGGAAGTAAAGATTATTTCACTTAACTCTAGCCAAATTGCTATGAGCCGTTTCTTGATATTTAGATAGTGAAGTGGTGTATTTGATTATCTTGCCCAAAGCCACATAGATAGGACGAAGCAGAACTAGATAAAGACCAGATATGGTTGACTCACAAATCTCAGTACTTTCCCACTAAACTATAATGTGGTGGCAGCCTTTGTGCCATGTCCTGAATGGTCTGCTCTTGGTGATTAAATCCTGTAGAGCACAGGGATGCTTTCGAGCCCTGTTTTAGGAACTATTCTAAGTGCAAGGACCACACTTGTCTTCTAAGATCTGGAACAGTTTGGATGGAGGAAACTGCCACAGTGTGTCCCAAGGAGCTTGAGGAACAGGGCTTCACGGCAAATGACAATACCCCTCTTGTCAGATACTAGCCACAGAGACAACATTAATGTAGCCCTGGCTGAAGCCTCTTTTTCCCCCTCTGACTTTCAGCCTCATCCCTAACCATTTATGTTTAGGTTTGAGTCCGGTACCCTTCTGTTAACCCACCTGCCTCCCTCCTCTAGGATGAGCTTTTGCCTTTTGTCTCCATTCCTGGCTTGGTCTTCATCAAAGCCTCTTCGGGGAGGTTGCCATCCTGTCAGGCAGGAGTTACAGGGATGGCAATATTGCTGTCTTGAAGAATCCCTGCACTTCAGGAATGCCCACACTGAAGTCTATTTGACTATGAACAGCTGTACTTCCTGACTGACATTCTGCCGTAGGATACAAAGTGGAAGCTTCACTGTGGTCAGTGTTGGAGAGAGTTGACTTGGCAGGTTGAATTTTTGCCTTCTTTCCCTCAGTTTTTCACCTCCTTTTTTTTTCATTTTTTAAAATTTAAATTAGAAACAAGCTTGCTTCACATGTCAATCCCAGCTCCTTTTCCCTCCCCCCCAGTGCCCCACGCAATCCCTACTCTGATCCCCAGGGAGGGTGAGGCCCTCCATGGGGGATCTCCAGAGTTTGTCATTTCATCCAGGGCAGGGCCTTGGCCCTCCCCCAAGATTCCAGGCTGAGAGAACATCCCTCATTGTGGGATGGGCACCCAAAGTCCATTTGTTTGCCAGGGATAAATACTGAACTACTACCCAAGGCCTCATAGATTGCCTAGGCCTCCTTATTGACACCCACATTCAGGGGGTCTGGATCAGTCCCATGCTGTCCTCCCAGTTATCAGTCAGGGGTCCAAGAGCTCCCCCTTTTTCAGGTCAGCTGTTTCTGTGGGTTACACCAGCCTAGTCTTGACCCCCTTGCTGATCACTACTTCCTCTCTGTCACTGGATTCCAGGAGTTCAGTTCAGTGTTTAACTATGGGTGTCTGGCTCTGCTTTCATCAGTCTCTGGATGAATGTTCTGTTTCCCAGACTCTTTGGCAGTAGGATTGTATGCTGGCACTCCCCTGATTCATGTCTAAAATCCATATATGAGTGAGTACATACCATATTTCTCTTTATGTGATATGTACAGATAAGGGAGGATCCTAACGCCTCTCTAGAGTGAAGGGCTGTGGAACAGGAAAGTCTTGGGAAGGCTTAGGAAAATGGAATGTGATTTCAGTGCAAGTTGTCTTATGGTGACTACAAGAAGACAGTCCAAATATTGCTGCATTTTAAATCCATTCTTTCTAAATAGGAAAGGAGAAATACATTTTTATAGCATGAGCTCATCTTTATAGGCAAAGCGTTTCCTCAAGTCTTCACTCAGCTAATACTGTACAGCCCCAATGGCAGTTTGTCCTGCTGGAGTTAAAACTGTTTGGTTTTGAGCTGTTCTGATATCTTCATAAATGTATCGAGTACTTTTGCTGTAACCTAATCCCAATCTGATCAAGAAAAATTACCACTAAATTTATTTTTAAAATATTCACTTTTAAATTAGAGGAATCATCCAGTTATAAGAAAGAGATTGGCCAATCATGATGGCACATGCCTTTAATCCCTGCATTTGGGAGGCAGGAGCAGGTGGATCTCTGTGAGTTCTAGGCCAGCCTGGTCTACTGAGGGAGTTTCAGGACAGCCAGGGCTACACAGAGAAACCCTGTCTCAACCCCCCCCCAAAATCCTTCAAACCATCCCACTTTCTTATATTCTCTTAATAGATTCTTCAGTTTGAAGATATTATGACCAATCCTTTCTACCGAGAGCGCTTTGGAACCTACATGGAGCGGATGGACAAGGGCACTCTGATTGGCTTTTGGGAGTCTGTGGAGCACCTGAAGAGTGCTAACAAGGTAATGCACTTATGCTTTAGGGAATATTAATCACTAGTAAAGGAGGACTTGCATGCTAGGTGGTGTATCACCAACTCAATGATGCTTTAGGATAAGTCTATGTATCTACCTATCTATATTTTGTTTGTTTGTTTTTGTTTTTTTGAGACAGGATTTCTCTGTGTAGTCCTGGCTGTCATGGAACTTTCATTGTAGACCAGGCTGGCTTTGAACTCACAGAGATCCACCTACCTCTGCCTCCAGAGTTCTGGGATGAAAGGTGTGTACCACTGTGACCTGCTTAGGATAAGTATACATTAAAGGAGTATTTTATATCATTATATTATATTTTAGCCCATTATGGAAAATAAAATTTCAGTAAATTTTTATAGAAGATGCTTTTGATCAAATAGTCAAGGGGGAACATTTACAAGTGTATCAAGAGATTAGATTTCATCATTTTAACTAACTACAAAAATATGCACCCATCCATGTTGCTCTTGTAAAAGACCAGATCTTACCCCTGTCACTTTGGTCTCATAAACTTGCTCTATCATCATGTGGATTTCATTACCATGTGCAGTTCTCATGCTTTTTATTCTTTATGTTTATAGTGTACACTTTTTACATTAGTTTTTCTTTCCTTTTATTTCACATAAAACATGATCAAATAAAGGAACACAAACATTTTTGGTTTCAAATGCCCCTGTGATCAAAGATCCCCACAGATTATGCACTGAAGTCACTAAATTCTCAATGCATATTTTAGAATTAAAGAATGTCTGCATATTCTTTGTATAGGTAAATATATCTAACTCAAATGTATACCATATATTGTATTAGCATATAGCATTTGAATGATTCATTAACGTAAGTGCAAAGAGCATTTAATTTGCATATGAATGTGGCTAGAATAGAAAACCAAATTAAGTACCTGAAATATCACACATGTACTTAGCAGCTAAATTCAGTGTGCTATTTTGAAGTCTCAGGACTATTTTTCATTGCTGAGTCACAAGGCCCAAATTGCGGTCTGTTACTCAACATAATTATTGGCCTTTTCACTCCAGGTGACTTTTGGCTGCTTTCAAAAGAATACTGTAAAGAGTAACTGACTAATAGTTGGAAGTTTTTCAATGAAATAAAAGCATGGGAGTTGCCCGAAAGCTGCTGTAGTCTGATCTGATGGCCTGATAAATGAATCGTGTTCACAGGGCGGTGGTGGTGCATGCCTTTAATCGCAGCACTTGGGAGACAGAGGCAGGTGGATCTCTGTGAGTTTGAGGCCAGCCTGGTCTACAGAGCGAGTTCCGGGACAGCCAGGGCCACACAGAGAAACTCTGTCCTGGAAAAGAGAGAGAGAGTCGTGTTCCTTAGTTTATGTCTTCTTATGGCTGTTTGGAAGTTTGTATAGTGTTCCTGGAGTTTAGGGAGAACCCCTGGAGCACGTGAGGATCATGTGTGTGGGAAGAGAGGTTTGTTTTTCTAAGCGGTGCAGCAGTGACCCCAGTAACCCGGGTGTGCCTCTCAGAACGAGGCCGCGCCCCGTGTGGCTCTGTGACAGTGGAGTTAATCTGAAGTGTTAAGTCTGAAGAATACCTACCATGTTTTTTAAATCTATGGCCACTCTGCTGGCTTTTTTCTGGGCTGAGAATTTCTTTTCATGCCAGCGAGGTGAGCACCTCTCATTATTGTATCAGATCAAAGTCAGTAAGACTTTAGTTCCTAAGTCACTTCTCTGTGACGTTGAAGATCCTCAACTTCACAGAGAAGTTGTGATAGGAGAGCCAGTCTTTTTCCTAACTTACCTTTCTCTAGCATTTTGTAGTTATTAACTGCTCATTATAAGTATTGATCTCAAAGAAGTGGTGGTTTTATTTCAAGGTCTGATACTTCTTCCCCCAAATGAGAATAGAGAAGGGGTTCATCTAGATACTGTCCTTCTAGCTTTCGCATGTAGGGAATTTAATGGGAAATCATCTTTCTGTTCATCTTCCTGTCTTTTCAGAATGAAATTCCACAATTAGTTGGTGAAATTTATCAGAATTTCTTTGTGGAAAGCAAAGAAATACCGGTGGAAAAGTCACTTTACAAAGACATCCAGCAGTGTCTCGTAGGAAACAAAGGCATCGAGGTGTTCAGCAGAATCCAAGCGGATGTGTACGAGGCGCTACGGGACAGGTATTACCCGTCGTTCATCGTCAGTGACCTGTATGAGAGGCTGATGATGAAGGAGGGAGAAAAGCAGGACGCACAGCAGACTTCTGACAGGGATGAACTGGTGAGCCATGCTCAACTTCTGCTTCCACTCTTCTGGGGGTCCTTTTCTCCTTGTGGCCAAATACCCCACAACAAGTTAAGGGGAGAGAGGTTTGAAACAATGGAAAGGTGGGAAAATGCCGCTGCATGGTAGAATTTGTTTGTATTTCATATGAGCAAGAGAGAGTTGAGCCACAGCAGGTGCTGCAGCAGGAGCAACCTCAGCGAGTAACTCCTGTGTTGACACTCAGTGCACCTAGAATTGCAGTTGTCTGTAACATCCTCACATATGTGGCCTTGCTTCTCATGGAAGACTAAATACTCTGAGGAAAAGGTGTAGGATTTTTGTCACAATGTATATAGTTACATGTAATTAGCAAGAACATCCAAAACTGAAAGCAGCCTGTTTTTCTGGAATTAATCAGACTTTCATTTAATTTAATTTGTTGTTTGCTGTAATTAATTAAAAACCTCCAGGAAGCAATCTGGGAGAAAGTTAAGGAGGAAAGACCAGAAAAGACCATAAGGAGTCCTGAGCAGTTCCTGTAGTGTCCACAGATGGAAATTAAGTAATCTGTTGTTTGCTAACCAAAGCCTTCCCAGAGCACATTGCAGATGCTATTTACCTGTAAAATGCATGCTGGCTCGCATAACACATTTTCAAGAGCAATACTGAACAACATCCACACTGAAATGCTTCTAGTAGTGTGGATTTGAACCTTTTTTTAATTCATTTTTTATACAGCATATTTTGGTTATGTTTTCCCTGTCCCCCAGCTTCTCCTAAGTCCTTCCAACCTCCCCACATACAACTTTAATTTTATAGTGTCATTGTCTCCCTACTCCCCCAAAACAAGAACATCAAAAGGCAAGGGAAACACATACACACAAACACACACACACACACACACACACACACACACACACACGCACTCACGCACACACAAAATGAAAATCAAAAATAAATGGGCAAAAGACCAATAAGACAAAAAAATCCAAAACAAAATAAAAAATTCACAAAAATACTATGGAGTTGTTAAATATAGACCCTTTATTTTAAAGTATTTCATAGCGCTGTTGGAACGCTGGGGAGGGTGAGCTCTGGTTTCTGCAGAGATGGAGAGAGAGCATTCCAGTTGAAGGGATGGCGGGCATCTCAGTTACCCCCCCTTGTCCCACAGATCCCCATAGTTGGAACTGATCCATGGGGTCCCCCTCCCACCTGGGCTGTTAGATATTTTCCTTTCTGTGCATGCTTTCTGAGCACCCGTTACCCTGGTTCCGGATGACTGGATTTCTGTCTTTGCTGGGGAAGGAGAAAAGCACTGCGGAGGTTCTTGTGCAGCATTCTTCCCGTCACGGGAATCTGGTGTTTGGGGACAGGATTGTGCAGTGGGTGAGAGGTGACTTTCTGTCATTCTAAGACATGCTGGCTTACTGCTTTTTCCGCCAGAGTTCAGGAAGTGAGGCTGGTGAGGAAGCCATAGAAGGCACCAGCGGGATTAGCGATCAAGCCAGCTTTGCTGTAAACAAACTTCGAGAGCTGAGTGAAAAACTTGAATATAAAAGGCAAGCTCTAAGTTCTATTCAAAATGCACCAAAACCCGATAAGAAGGTAACTGTCCTGCTTTCAAGGTTGTCTCTGAAAGTTTGTCTTCTTTGTGAATAGTAGTTTTCCCTTTATGCTGAGAACTGTCAGCTTCTTTAAGAATGACGAACAATTGAGCAATTGGGAACAAGTTCCTTTGTTAGGTTTTTCTTCTACAACCTGGGGAGCTGCACAGAATTATGAAAACTGCTTCACTAAAAGCCAAGAGGACTGGAAGTTTGAAAACCTTAGATATTCCCTTTTCATTGCAATTCTGAACATCTGTTAAAGTGGTCCCAAAGAATTTGACTTTTCTCTTTGCTAGGGAAGGAGAAAGGCATAGTTAAGTTTTTCTGTAGAATTCTAGGGAGTGGAGAGATGGCTCAGTACTGAAGAGCATGGCTTGGGTTCTATTTACAATACCCACATGGCAGCTCACATCTTCTGTGACCCTAGTTCCAAGGTATCTGACGCCCTTGTCTTTGCTCTGCAGGTACCAGGCACACAGACAATGCACAGACACACATGCACACAAACACACATGCATGAAAAACAAAGTAAATATGTCTTTGAAAATTAACTTAAACAGATAAAGCTATAAACAACTTGGGGCTGGAGAGATGACCTGTGGGTAAGAGCATTTGTTACTCTTGCAGAGGATCCAGGTTTGGTTCCCAGAACCCACATGGCAGTTAACAACTACCTTTTACTCCAGTTCCAGAGGATTTGCTGCCCTCTCTAGCCCCTGTGGGCACTGCATGTATGTGGTACACAGACATACATGCCAATGAAACACCCGTATACATAAAATAAAAATAAGTAACATTAAAAAATGTAAACAGTAGGGGTAGGTTGGGCCTTGTGGGGTAAGGTGCTTGCTATGCAAGAGTGAGCCTGAGTTTGGAGTCCCACCACCATGTAGAAGCCACGCATAGTGCTGTAGGAGGCATGGGCAGCACTGATGACCACGCAGTGTTCCCAAAGGATGGTTTAGTCCACTCCATGGGTCTCCTCCAGCTTTCCTGAATGTGCTGAGAAGAGCAGCTTGTAGTAAAACAACTTTTTTTGAATCACATTGTATCTCCATCTTCTTTCGTGACTATCCAGTGGGAGAGTAATTCTGAAGCAATGCTGTAAGCAAATCAAGATGATATAAGCATTTACCAGTCTGCAGTCAAAAGACTAACTCATGTATTATGCAGCCAGTGTTTAGTTGGAGCAGTGGGCCTTCTTTGAAGAAGACACTGAGAAAGCCCTGAAGAGTCTAGCCCATTGTGTCCCTTTCCAGAGTTGTGATGGAGAAAGGAAACAAGTACCAGGTCTCCAGTGCTGTCACAAGAATAGGTTTAGTCTCCCTCAACGTGGCGTCACTCCCAGTTAGTGTGTTAGTCATGATAAGCGGAATCAGCTGACACAGTCAGTCTGCTGTGTGACATGTTCCCCCAGGACAGTTGTATTTATTCTGGATTTACCTTTTTAAAGTAAGATGTGTTCCTAGGAAACCATATGAAAGATGAGTGCCACAGTGTTCAGTGGATTATTTTCTGTTTGGGTCACCGTTTGCCTGAGAGACATTCTTTACTCTGTCTTGAAAGAATTTCTAATAATCGTGGGCTAAGCATTCTGAGCCATAATTACATGAAGGGATCCTCAAGCGATTTGGAGGCTTCAGTGTTGTGATGGCTTAATTTGAACACTAATCTCGGATCCCAGCAAGGGCAGTCCTCATTTCCTGTTAAATCAAATTGTCCCTGGGCTGTGCAGGGAGCACTCCACTCCTGACAGTTGTGCTCAGGGCTCGGGGCTCCAGGAGGAGGCTCATCTGCCTTTTAAGTCGTTTGGGTTGGAAAATGTAAAATATATAAAATACGTATAACAGGCATGTTTTTATTATTTCTTTATTTTTAAAGATTGATGCTGAAAAGACTTTGGCAATCTATCAATTAATGGACACCCACAAAACCCTTACCAGAATGATTTTCTTCTTTTTGAGTTAAATATGTGTCGGCATGGCACATGTATAATAGTGTTCTCCTCACTCTGGATCTCTTAACCAATGGTATCATTGGCTGTTGCATGTAAAGTTAGCCCAGGTTTTACTTTATTTCTGTAGAGAAGTTCTGATTCTGAAGCAAACTGTAACCCTTGCAGAAGCTCACTCTCTGCTGATGACATGAAAAGCCAGAGAAGCGAGGGACTGGCAAGATGCCAAGTAGTGTTTGCTGCACAAGCACGAGGACCTAAGTTCAAATCCCCAAGCCCCATGTGAAAGCTAAGCATGACAATGTGCATCTATAATGCAGTGCTGGGGATTGCAGATAGGTGTGTCCTCAGAGCTCTGGCCAGCTGTGCCACCCAAAACCAAACAACGAGCTCCAGGTTGAGTGAAACACCCTTCCTCAAAGACTAAGTTGGAAGTTGACATTAGCTCTGGTCTCCTCATACGGTAATACCAGACAATGTGACAGTTTGCCCCCAGCCCTCAGGAATCACATATGCTGGTTCTATGGATTGAAAAGCCAGGGCTAGTGATGGTAACATTGAGGACAGGGGTGTAGACACGGGGCTTCTCGTAGCCTTCTGAGGCTGGAAGCCCTGAGGACTTCTCAGAGGAAGCTGTTGTCTGTAAACTGCAAATTTACATGAAAGATGTGACATCTAAGGAAGGGCAAATGTGGCATTTAAGATGTAATAGTATTCTGTTTACCCATCCATCCTTCAGTAGACATGGTTTCCTGTTACAGATAATGCTGCTGTGAACATTGGTATATAGAAATTACCTCAAAATCCCACTTCCAGTTCTTTTAGATATGTTCCCAGAAGTGCATTTGCAGGGCTCTCTGGGGACTCTGTTTTGTATTAGTGGAGGAACAACCATAGCATTTCCAGCTTTTGTACCGTTTTACAACACAGAAGGGTTCTAGGCTCTACCCTTTATTTTTCCTTTCTCCACTTTTATTTTTGTGATGGTCCTCATCCCAGTAAAGGGGCCTCATTGTAGCTTTGACTTGCATTTCCCTACTTACTAGTATCACTGGCCATGTTTTCATGTGCCTATTAACCATTTGTGTGTTTTCTTTGGGAAAAAATGTGTATACAAGTCCTTTCCCCATTCTTAAGTTAGGTTGCTTGGTGTTGTTACTGAGGTTCAGAAGTTCTCTTGATAGTCCTATCATTGAAGCTTTATCAAATATGTTTATGTAAGTATTTTTCTCCCCTTCTGTGATTGGCATCTTTACTGTTTTGATAGGGTTCCTTGATGCACACTTTTTTGACAAGAAACTAAAGGAGTACTTGTTTTGTTGCCTGTGCCTTTGGTGTCATACCAAGAAATTGCAGATAATTCTAGCAGCATTCACCATTGTTCCTGTTTCCCTCTTGATCTATTTTGTAGCTTTTGTGTCTGGTCCATTCTTAGTTAATGGTTGGGGTCCACCTCCATTACTTTGCATGGGGTTATCCAGTTTTCTAGTGTCATCCGTTGAGAGGTTCTTGACCCCTAATTGAAAATCATATGACCACATGTTTGAGTACTGTAGTTTTTATAAGTTTGGAAGGCAGGAAGAGTGAGTACTCCGACTTTGTTCTTATTTTTCAAAATTCTTTGGGTTTGGGGGTGTTTCTTAAGAAACACATATGAACTTAGGAATGAATATTTGTATTTCTGCCACTGAAATTATGACAGTAATTGAATTACATGTGTGGACTGCCCTGGATGATTTTGCTGTTATTGCAACAATATTAAGTCTTTGGATCTCTACAGATATTTGCCATTTTTAATCGTCCTATTCGTGTTTTGTAGTTTGTATTATAGAACTCTTTCATTTCCTTGGCTAATCCCTGAGAATCTTACTCTTTCAGGTGCTGTTTTAAGTGAAACCGTTCCTAGTTTGGGCGTTTTGTCCTTAGCATATAGAAGCACAGCTGTTTGTGTGTTGATTTCGTATACTGCTTCTCTGCTGGTTTGCAGACCCTTTGCACTGCTTTCATAACCCCCGGCTCTCTTCCTTGTGGTAGATTATTTCCAAGCTGAAGGACGAAATACTGCTAATAGAGAAAGAATGCGCAGATCTTCAACTACACATGGCAAGAACGGACTGGTGGTGTGAGAACCTGGGCCTGTGGAAAGCAACCATCAACAGTGCAGAGGTATTGCCGCCGCCGCCGCCGCCGTTCTGTAGAAAGCATAGTTTTCCCTGGAGAATTAAGGCTGAAGGTCAAAAGCCACCTTTGTCCACTGCCTTCCTTTCCCTGTGCTTCCTCTCTGGGGTGCTCCTGCACGATGGAAGCTGTCCAGGGCCTCACGTGTGCATCTGCCTCACTCCACCATAGGCAGAGTTGCTTTGTTCATCGGATTGTAAGCAACCTTGAGATAGGAACAGTTAATGCTCTTGAATAATTGTTTTTTTCTGTTATAATTGATATAAAATGGAAAGTATTTGGAGATAATAAACAATCAAAATGTAAATATGTTTTTTGTTCCATTATGTTCAGTTAGATCTCAGAAATTTTAAGATCGTTAGTAATGAATATTTTTCCAATTGGTTATTTGTTTTTTTTATCCCCTTTCTTACCCATTTGTTTTATCAATATATGTTGTATAAAATAATAGATTTCATTATGACATTTTTATGCAGGTTTATAATGTACTTTGATTGTTTTCGCTCGATTAGTTCTATCACCTTTAGACTATAAAATAACTTCCATTAGGAGGAAAGAGCTCTTATTTTAAGCATTTACTGCATGGTTACTGCGGCTGTCCTGTCCTGAGTGGGGGAAGCTAGTCACGCCCACCATGCAGGGTTGTGGGTGAGCACAATGGCATCAATCTTTCAGTTGTTCTTATCATTGTCCTTATCTATCCCCACTCTGCCATTGTCTCAGCCACTTGACAGACTGGGTGTGAGAGACCTAGAGAGCCTTTAGACGTGGCAAACGGGCAGCTCTGAAAGCCACGTGTGAAGGTTCATCAGGTGTTCAGCGTGAGAGCACTCCCGTTAAGCTAGGCTGTGGGGCAGTGGAATAGGGAGTGCTGTGCTCAACCATGCAATGCCATTTAAGAAAATGTAAGTCAGTAATTATGGATGGAATTGTCATTTGCATGGAAGTGCAAGAGTGTGGTAGACTCCTGTGGGAGGAGGGCCTTCTCATTGTAGGCATTGCTGCTTCCAATGTTAAATCTTCCAAGTCAGACCTGGAGAGACGGAGGGGCAGCCCCTCTCAAGGTACTTCCCCACAGGGCACTTGGCCCTAGTAACCAGTCATTATTCAGGACTAGGCTGTGGTTCCTTGGTTGCTGGAAAGATAAGGGAAGTAGAAACAGGGACTACAGGAATTCCCATGCATTTACATTAGCCAGACTTTTCTGCCTTTGGATCCTGCCTGGCCCGCTTTCTAGATGTGTGGGAAGTTGGCTACTCTGGCCATGCCTCCACACCTCACCTAAACAGTGGAATAGTATTACTGCCTCACACTGTGCGTGTGGGTGTCCATGAAATCTAGTATCTCTTTGCTGATTTTTTTTTATTCTTCTAATTTATTAACTCAGGCTCAGAATTAGTACAGTTGCCCACCCCCTGTCTCTGTCTCTCTGTCTCTGTCTCTGTCTCTCTCTCTCTGTGTGTGTGTGTGTGTGTGTGTGTGTGTGTGTGTGTAACAGATGGGGTGAATTTGTGTAAACTGGACAGCAAAGAACCCCACCACAGTAGCTGTTCTCCAGTTCCTGTGTCACAAGGCCAGGTTGTCTGCACTCTGAGGGGCCAGCAAACCCACAAGCACCCACTCAGTTCCAGGCTAATTCAGATTATTGGCAGAGTTGAGGAGTGCCCTGTTTGTAAGCCTGAGATCTGATCAGTCTTTTCTTGCTCGTTTCCTTCTTGGGCTTCTAATCTTTGTGACTTCATTTTCTATTTTGTGACACACACACAAAAAAATGCCTCTTATAATTTAGATCTAGTCAGATAATCTCCCCTATATTAAGATCTGCTGTGTCATATAACAAGATCTAATTGCCAGAATAAGATCCTTCACACTTCGACTCCCAGGGTTTATTGATTACACCATGCAGGGTACACAAGAGAGAGGGTAATTGTGTGCTGGGGGAAAGGTCATTAAAATTCTCTAGTTTCTGGCCGGGCGGTGGTGGCGCACACCTTTAATCCCAGCACTCGGGAGGCAGAGGCAGGCGGATCTCGGGAGTTTGAGGCTGGGCTGGACCGATAGCCTCCAAAACAATACAGAGAAACCATGTCTCGAAAAACCAAAAAAAAAAAATTCTCTAGTTTCTGCTTATCATGATTTAGTTTTCTGGGTTTTTTATTTTGTCTTTTCAAGGTGACAGAAGAGAATGGAGAGCAAATGCCTTGTTACTTTGTCAGGGTAAATCTACAAGAAGTTGGAGGGGTTGAAACTAAGAACTGGACCGTCCCAAGAAGGCTCAGTGAGTTTCAGAATTTACATCGGAAACTTAGTGAGGTATGAATACTTATGAACACGGACTGGTGAACACAGGACTGTAGCATTTGTGAGCATGAAGACTTTTAGTGCTCACACCATTCATAGCGGAAATGGATTGTTCTTTCTGTTTGGAAATTACTCATGGATCAAACAATCTAGTGTACTCCAAATCCTTTAGGACAGATGGTTGTCTGACTTCCATTATAAATTGCGGTAGAACCCCAAAGATGTAAGAGGCCAGGGATGTAGGGCCAGTGGATTTGAAGCTGAGACTGTAACCCTTTACCGGGCTGAAATCAGCTGAGTGTTAAATCAGGAGGAGCAGAGTGTGTACTCTAGGAGTTGGTCAAGAACACCCAGAGTCAGAGAGGGCCACCTAGCATCCTGGATCTACCGTCCTGTTTGTGAAGGTTCAGGGAATAGATGCTACAGAGCGTAGAAGGATGTGCGGTACATGGGAAACACTTTCCTGAGTCTGTTGCTGTTGGTAGCAATGAGCATTGTTTCGGTGTGACTTACATATTTATGACAGTAGAATGCCAATGCAGATACTCTGCGTCATGGTAGTGGAGTAGTGCGTGCTTCCTCCTCTCATATACTGCATCTCAACCGTGGTTTGGCTCTTCTCCTCCCACTCCCCCCCTGACAGCCCCTCTTCCCCAGATCCATTCCCCCTCCTTCCCTTCAGACAAGAGCAGGCCTCCCAGGGATAACAATCAAACGTGGCCTGTCAATTTATAACAAATCTAGGCGCAATCCTCATATTAAGGCTGAGGGAGGCAACCCAGCAGGAGGAAAAGGGCCCCCAAAACAGGCAAAGGAATCAGACAGTCCCTGCTCCCACTGTTAGGAGTCACACAAGAGCACCTAGCTACACAATCATAACATACATGCAGAGGACCTAGGTCAGGCCCATACAGGCTCCCTGGTTGTCAGTTGAGTCTTTGTGAACCTCTGTGAGCCCTGGTTAGTTGATTCTGTGGGCAGCTTTTATTGTGATGTCTTGAACCCTTTGGCTCCTACAATCCTTCTTCAACCTCTTCTGCAGGATTCCCTGAGTTCTGCCTAATGTTGGCTGTGGGTCTCTGCATCTGCTCCTGTCAGTTGCTGAATGAAGCCTCTCTCATAATGATTATGCTAGGCTCCAATCTATGAGTATAGCAGAGTATCATAAGGAATCAGATTTCTAGCTCTCTTAATCGAGGACTTTCTGAATACTATTCAACTGCTTTTACAAGAATGGTACCCAAAACCAAGTGTCATACATGCTACATCATTTCTGACTTTGATTGTGGTTACTCTATGCGTATGGAAAATAAAACATTTATCTCAGTATAAGAATAAATTCTTCCAATAGTTACTGAGTAAAACTAGCACTATGAAAACATGCATTGTTTTCCATGTGACAAGTCATATAAAACTAGAGCTAAGTATCAGCTTAGCTTGTTAACAAAGACAAAAGAGGAAAATAAATTTTGACATAAAATGTACTTGCAAAATAAATGTTCTTAAAACAGAAAAAGGTAATTATACCGAATCATTATGGAATTTGAATGAAAGTGTATAAAATCCATGGCTTTGTGACTGTCGTGCCTCATTGGACCAATGGCTGGACAATTCCTTTTCCCTTTCGGCTTGCTACAGCGAGTTCCCTGTGGTGAGGACCCTCTTGTGTGACGTGTGGAAGCACATTTACATTCTCACTGCCTGTTTGCCTCTCTGAAACTTCAGAGAACTGTTACAAGGATGACATAACACAGACCACATACCCAGCACTGGTCTGATAGAATGCAGGATTCCACCCACAAAAGGAGGCCCGTTGTTATTATTTTATTATTAATATTTTTAGTCTATGGTTTCCTTTGAAAAGCAATTACTAGAGCTACAACCTATGCTTTGTTTCCTTTTTACACATGTTGCGGCAGAAAGGCTTGTGTTTTGGGCTTCCGGTGCTGCATGGTGTGCTGTGTGCGCCCACACACATGTGCAGTACTATCCTCTCCCTCCAGGTTGAGCCTGATTGCGCTGCATGCATTCTATCTGGATGTGCTGGTGCATGCCAGCGATCCCAGAATTAGGCAGCCTGAGAAAGGGAAATCACAAGGTCAAGGTCATCCCAGACTGCGTTGTGAGAGCCTTTCTCCAAAAGGTGGGGAGAGGGGCGGAAGAGTAAGTGTAAGAGGGAGCTGTTTGGTTTGTTCTAACCATAACTGTAAGTGTTCTTAAGATGAAGATGTAGTTTCAAAGGGTAACATTTAATCTTTCCCACCCACAGTGTGTCCCTTCTTTAAAGAAAGTCCAGTTGCCTTCTCTCAGTAAGCTGCCTTTCAAATCTATAGATCACAAGTTTCTGGAAAAGTCAAAGAATCAGTTAAATAAATTTTTACAGGTAAGTAAGTGGGAAGTTTTGGGTGTAAGGGTGAGATTAGCTATTTGGAGGTAAGCTTTCACCATCCCAAGAGCTTGCTAGTTTGCCTTTTGGTTTCTCAAGGCACCCCCAGTTTGTATTACCAGTACCACATACATGACTCCCATCTCTAGAGCTTCCCCAGAGATGACACTCTCACTCATTATATTCTTCAGTGGTGATGGCTTCCTTTGGTTTGTTTACTTCTAAACCTGTTCTCCTATGACACTGGATACGAAAGAAACATTTTTGTCATCACATTGCTAATCTGTATTGTAACTACATTAGCTCATACATAAACTTGATTTATGACAGAGTATGCTGGTACACACATTTAATCCCAGCACGTAGGAGATGGAGGCAGGTGGGTTTCTGTGAATTCAAGTCAAGTTTGGTCTATATAGTGAGTTCCAGACTAGCCAGGGGTACATTGTAAGACTCTGTCTCAAAAACAAAACAAAAAGAATGGTTTATGTTCTGTACTTTCTCCTAGGCCAGATAAGTATGGACAGAACCACTGTAAAAAGTTACATGACTGTATTTGCAGTCACTCTGTTGAAAGAGGTGACACTGTCTCCTGCTACACAAGGCTACCATTTCTGAATATAGCCAAAAAAGGGTCTTTTGTGGGATCCATATGTAATATACAAACTTTAAGTTGCTCAAATACAGATGATTAAAGTTGTCTTTGAAAAGCGGTAGCCTTAGAGATCTTGAATTATGTGTAAACTAAGAGTGTTTATGGCATCAAGCAGTACCAAGCACTGCTGCATTCTATCTCCCACAGGTAACTTCTTAGGGCACTGTCTGTTTTGCAATTGAGACCGCTGACAAGTGTTCGTACATAGTTTATTCTGAGAAAAAATGCAGCCATTTTTGTGTAGAATAATGGTAAAAGCAAGGTCCTAACATAGTCAGTTCTGCCTGGTTAGTTCTGTAGCTCTCGGCAGCCCAGATGGTTTTTTATGTAGACGTAATTAGCCTTCTTCTTCCACAGAACCTGCTTTCAGATGAAAGACTGTGTCAGAGCGAAGCCCTGTATGCCTTTTTGAGCCCTTCTCCTGACTACCTCAAGGTTATTGATGTACAGGGGAAAAAAACCTCCTTTTCCTTATCTTCATTTCTGGAAAAACTTCCTCGAGACTTCTTCTCCCATCAGGAGGTGAGCAGACCAAAGGTGGTCCCTCTTCAATATATTCATGGAGATAAGCTTTTGAAGGTTGTTTGAAAGAAGAGTTGTTTGTTGAAAGGCAAAATCTGAAAAGCACATGCATCCATTTTCAATGATCACCTTCATGTTAGGGAGTTAATCACTTGGAAGAATTACAAAACAGAAACAGGAAATATGGCAAGGTGGCAAGTGGACCGTAGACAGGAAGTGCTGCCGCAGTGGGTCCCTCGGGATGTGACCAGAGTAAATCACTGAGGGTCTGATGTCTCGGGTGTGTGTCTGCGGGATAGTCAGCAGATCATCGGGGCAAGCTGGCAGGTGTCTGTGATGTGCCTATAAGACAAAGAAGTCGTGGCAGGGTAGGCGGCCAAAGCTTCATTCTTGGATGTGGAGAACCTGGCAGCAGTGTATGTGATAAAGCAATCACTAGAGAGACAGCAAGCATGTTCAGCCTCATATTCTGAACCTCAGGCTTAACTTACGTTTCGACCACGTAGCCCCTTGCCCTAGCAAATTAGAAGAGATTAGCCTCCAAAACTGGCTTTTCCTTAGTCTGTTGCTGGATGGCATTGCCTCTTCATCAGGACTGGTCTGTTGACTTCGCACAGAGAGACTGGCTATGAACAAAAGTGCGGTACTTTATTGCAGTCTGAGTTGGGAAGAGAAATGCCCACATCTCTATTAAGTCTCTGTTTGAACCCCAGTCTCTGAAAGCTCCTCTACCCCCTCCTTCCTCCAGGTCTGTTTAGACCTGGATAACTTTCCTCCATTACCCTGTCTTTGGCAGGAGTCCCTTTGGATGCACAAATGACTTGATCACTATGAAACTGCTCTCTTAATCAAAGACTTTCTGAATACTATTCAAGCGCTTTTACAAGAATGGCAGCCAAAACTGAGTGTCATACATGCTACAGCATTTCTTACTTTGACTATGGTTACTCAATGAGTATGGAAAACAAAAGATTTATCTCAGTATAAGAATAAATTCTTCCAATAGTTACTGGGTAAAACTAGCATTGTTTTCCATGTGACAAGTCTTATAAAACTAAAGCTAAGTATCAGTGTTGTAGCTGCTTCTCAGTGCTCACCTTCCTCAACCTCTTTGAAGTATTTAATGTTCTTGGACTGGTGTGAAGCCAAGAAGTTCTAGAGAACTCCTTGTGCTACCAAGAAACTGTCTGACTGATCACCTGGTAACACCCAGAGACCTGTCATTAGTCTGGCTCTTGGACCTATAATTTCAGCTTTCCTTTTTCCTTTTTATTAAATTTTTTCATATATTTCAATCATATTTTTCTCCCTCCCCAACTCCTTCAAGATCCTCCCCACCTCCTACCCACCCAACATCATGTTCCCCCCCTTTCCCAAGCAACAACAGACCAACAAAAAACCCAGCTCCCTGAGCCTTAAGGAGAGGGATATGAAGACATCCCATGTAGGAATGAGTGTTCCAATGTCTCTCATGTAGTGGACCTTAAGTCCAATTAACAAGAGAAGAGGAGGGGAGGGGAGGAAGGAAGGAAGGAAGGGAAAGGAAAATAAGGATGCTTACCTTTCTTCTCTGGTATCATGCTGAGAACCTTCAAGCACAATAAATACTAGACCGTGGTGGTGAAGCTTCTAGTTAGATACGAGCTCAACTTCTCTGTGTTCAGTGACATAGTAAGTGTTGCTTGCAGCCACAGGGCCTACCATCAAGTTGTGGTGACTAACCAATAGCCTTGGTAGTGCACTGTGATGTTTGGGGGAGTCTATGGGGCCCCCTGGCCAACGACTCAACACGATGTTACCTATTCCTGGCACTGGAGGTTTGCTTTCACCTTTGGTTTCTTTGCAGACATTACAATGACCATCTTCAGCTGTCTTTTCGCTGCCTAGTTATTTGGGCAGCGCTTCATCTTGTCTTATAAAAACTGCCATTCCTGTATATGTCTGTCTCCCCAGACCACTGTCAGGCACTCAGAATCTGGACCTCACTGCACTCGTGTACACCAGCTTGGTGCTTGGCACAAAATGTGTGAATTGAAATATGCTGACATGTAAATCAGGAAATGAGACTAGTAAAGTATATAGTAGATGCTTAAAGCAAAGCTTAAAAATACCTCAGTTACCTGAAAATACATGTTTTTAAAAGCAGTGATTAAAAATCATTTCAGTTAAAAGTCTTTCAAAATGAAAAAAAGCTCATCTTTATAAAACTATATTACAATTTCCATGATTACTTAAAGAGTGATTCCTGCCCCCTCTCCGTCCTCCCCGTTGGCTTATTCTAAACTGTGAATCTGGCTGTAGAGTCAGGCTGTCCTTCCAATTGAAAATGGGTAGATAAAAGTCGAGCAATAGACGTAAGTAGATGGCTTGGAGTCTGTACTTGATAGAGGAAATCAGCTCTGTATCGTTGTGCTGCATGCTCCTGGGTAACTGGCCTGCTGCTTGTGGTGTTGCTTATACCCCAGGAGGAGATGGAAGAAGACAGCGACCTGTCAGATTATGGGGATGATGTGGATGGAAAGAAGGATGCCTTGGCTGAGCCATGCTTCATGCTGATTGGGGAGATTTTTGAACTTCGAGGAAGTAAGTCCTTTGATGGTTAGAGATTTGTTTACCATTGCCCTGTCCCTGGCATGCATTTGATGTGTTTGTATCCACATGTTCATTCACCTGACAAGTGTTTTAACATGCCAGAGACTTTAAAGACACTGTAGGAGTTACACTTCATGCTTGGTGTTGAAGGCACAGCCATAGGACAGAATTTCTGTACACTGAAACTTGGGTTCCTGGTTTGCTCAGCATCGTGCTTCTCTGAATTAAGAGAGAGAGAATGCATTGAACCTTTTCCTGTAAGTCAGTGTAACTTCATTGTCTCATCACCAAAAGTTATTCAAAAAATCATTTGCATAGCCTGTTATTAAAGGGCAGTGTTGAAGATATGGAGTGTGTGTGTGTGTGTGTGTGTGTGTGTGTTTGTGTGTGTGTGTGTAATATATCATGAAGATTCAATATAGAATAATTTCAATAATTAAATTTAGAGCTAAACTTTAGAAATGGAGGCTAGTTAACTTAAGAAATGATCATGATAAAATAGCATCCAAATAGTAAACTCTTAAGATGAAAAATCTGTAGCCTTGCATCTTAGATTCCTTTAAGATAGTCGCTGATGTTTAACTTGATTCAGTATAGCCAGAGAACAATAGTATTCCACTCAGTCTTTCTTTCCTTCAGTGAAATCTTGCCCACAAATCTTGAGTCTTCCTATTTCCCACAGAAGTGGGAACCATGAGAGTGCAGCACTCTGTCTGGTAGCATCGGTGTGTCCTTCTTCATAAACTCAAACAGATGTAAGCACACTGTGAATGTGTCAGAGCCATCACAGCCTTCGTAGGCTCTAACTGCTGGCATTTTAGCCTGCTCATCCTTGATTGAGTTGGTTTTGTCAGTGACATTTCCGAGAGGCATAAATAGAACGGCCTTGATAATGAGACGTGATGCATTTGTCATCAGCAGACTGACTCCTCGGGTGGCTGCAGCTGCCTCTGCTCTCAACAAACTCTAAAAAGAAGCAGAGGGCCATTTGGGCAGGCGGGAGCTTGGGAACCAAGGAAGAACAGGAAAAGTAGTCGAGTAGGCAGATACCAGTGATGGCAGAGAACTGAGCAAAATGTTTTGGTTCCTGTTTATGTTCAGAATACAGAAGGACCTAGTAAGGCAGATTTTTACTTTAAAACCCTCAACAGTCAGGCATTCTTCCTAGAGTTCCCTTTGTGACCAGAGCCGTTGGCTATGAACTACCTCGGTCCTGACCTAGAAAACCCAAGCAAAGTTATCATCATGAACAGAAATGTTCATTCTAGCTAAAAGGTCAGCCTAAAATAAGCACACACTTGGTGCTATTCTAGAAAATTCCACACAGAAGATCCAGGCATTGCTGAGGCTTGGCTCCAAATCCACGGCTTGACTTTCATTTGCAGGGATGGGGGTGGGGTGGGGTGTGTGTGTGTGTGTGTGTGTGTGTGTGTGTGTGTGTGTGTGTGTATCTAGGCCTTGAGAATCATTCAGAAGTTAGTTAGGAATGCCCTTGATGCTTTGGTCTAGTGTCAGGTTTCTGTCAATTGTTGCTCCTGTGTGGTCGCCCTCAGGAAAGGTCTTTGGGAATTTACTCCTTTTAACTTTCCCTACTGGATACAAATGGCCTGAACCTTTGACTCCATTGTTGCCAAATCTGAGCTTTTCACTTCTTCCTGTCTTAGTAACCAAACATTTCAGGGTCTGGAGATGACAATATAAGTTTAGAAAATTGGTTTATATTCAAATTACAAACATAAAAATATCACCAGTTTTTTCCTTCTTTTGTTTACATTGATAATCTACTCCTGTAAAATGGCCATATGGTAATAATAAAAGTTGTGATGGGCAGAACCCTCATGCATAGAAAACACCCTTAGGGATGGAGGAATACAAGCCCACTTCACTCTCATCCTCTTCCAGTTGAGGAGCCAGAGGTCCAGCAAGGAGGTGACGTATGCCCGGCTGCTCTGGAAGGTGTTACAGGACCCTGGTCTTCACAGTTCTCCTTTCTTGCTCCAAACACATAAGATATAAAAGTACACAGCGTTGAACAGACTGGAGTACTCAAAGGGGAACACTTAGACCCATCACTTCATTCATATCTGATAATGTCTGTCAACATTTGAATACAGACATTTCTCATTGAGAGCTCTGTGTCAGAAAATTGAAAGCAGAAAGCCAAGCAGAAATCTACAACAATAACTGCACTGTCTTCTTGTGGGGACCAGGCATGTTATCAGCAGCCCAGGGACACAGGAAGTAAAGTATTATATCAGCTCTTCTGTAGGCAAGAGAAAGAAAAGGGAGTGGGGATGATCCTCCTAGATTTCACCTCTCCATTTGCTTAGTGAAAAATGAAAGCTTAGTCAAGAGTTTCCTAAGCAGGTGTTTGCTAACCCACACCCAGTCTCCACAAATGGAGCCTGTGGTTGATGCTGTGATTCAAATAGAATCAAAGGACAAGACTGTATTCTTCGTTCAGCTGTGAAATTGTGATGCTTGTAATATCCCGTGATAACATTTTCTTCTGGTTTATATTTTAGTGTTTAAATGGGTGCGAAGAACATTAATTGCTCTCGTTCAGGTCACTTTTGGAAGAACCATCAACAAGTGAGTTGTTCAAAATTAATGTTTGAATTCATGTGTTATCCTTTGTCTGAATGTTGAGTTATCTTATGGAATGGCAGTTGATGGGCTTAACGGAAAGAATCCTTTTGTATTTTGCTTTTGATATGACTCTGAGGCTGCACTAGAAAGCAGAGTTCTGAATTTCTCTTGCAGCATGCATGGTGAATGAATGAGGGAATGTGTGCTAGCTCCAGCATTCTGGCTGATGAGGTCAGAAGGCTGTTCTGGAAGAGCTCCGTTTGGATCATGGAGTACCTTGGCTTTTCTGTTGTCATGTCACATAATGGGGCTCAGGCTACAATTTAGCCACAATGAAAGGAAGATACTCACCAGCTGGCAAGTATTTGTTCAGAGAGAATGCAAAACAACATATGTTCACTTTTAGGGTTGAAGTAGTGTTAAAATGTTAATTCTTCTCTGTGGACATCCATGGTGGAGGGCTGTGTTTGTCATACAGTAACGCCACAAGCCCTTTTATATTCTAAACTGCATTGTAGTATACATTCACGTGAAAGCGTTTATACATGTAGTCTTCTACAGGCCATTTCCACATGTGGCATTTGTTCTTGAAAGCTCTGGGGTCTGCTGTGAGAACTCAGGGTCAGGCAACTGTACTTCCTAAGAAATTGTTAGTATTTCAAACAGCCCTGAGAACATGCCCTCAGCAGCGATCAGAGAAAACAGTGCAGGCAGTTATTTATCAGAGGTTATCTAGTGGCTCATCCTATGGTGAGGAGACAGAACCAAGAGGTGGCATGGCTTTCCCAAGGTCACCAGTAGAAAAACCTGACTTCCAGGCCTGTCTTTCCTGTTTCACATTATCCTTGTGCCTGTAGTTTACAACTGCCATTGTCAGCGTCTTTTAAATAAGTATCCAAAATACAGACCTTTAAGAGATTAACATTAGGATTTTCTGCAGGATAGAAAGAAATGTGAGTGAATATCTAAAAATTTTAAAAATAAATCAGTTTTTTGGTATTGTAAAATAAGTTGTAAGATGAAAATATTGTTTCTCCAGCTAAATATCTTGCTGTTGAACACTGGTTAAATGTTAGTTGATAGTTTTATTATGTAAGCTTATATAGTTTTACAGGATATACTACAAATGTATTGTAATACATATTAATACAATACTAAAAATGTACTGATTTATACATAGGATGTGCTTTCTTGGTGGTTACTACAAACATTTACTTCTGTTTTATTTTCTAGAATTAAAAAAAAGATAATTTAAGTTGTCAGTCAGAGGCTTGTATAGCTGTCCTTTGATCAGAGAAAGAGCCATTTAATGGACGGTTTATGTCTTGGGAAAACTTGATTAGTGCTGGAAGGCCCTAGAGAAATTTCCAGGTGCCTCCTTTTCCCTTGTGCTTGAGCTGGCTAACCATGTGTGCATACTTGCTGTGTTCTTCCGGCTACTGTGGCGCCTGCTCGTGCAATGAGCAGCGTGATGAGTAGGCAGGCAGTTATTTGCGTGGAGCTTGAGGGCCTCCTGTAGGCCACTTTGAGCTGTTCCGCCACTGGGTTTGCTACCAGGCAGGGGACTGTGGAGTACCTGGTGCATGCTGGTTCTGCCATTTGCAGAGGATGACACATCATAACATTCAGCAGCAGTCTTTGTCAGCATCTTGTCTGTAAGCAACCAACCATGGTCTCACACACTTGGTTTACTTCAAAAGCTTTTGGCTGATAGAAAGAAAATATTTTGGTGCTTTTCTTGCCTGATAATTGCCTAATGTTCAGTCACAAACTGAAATTTCTTCATGGAGTGCCAGTAGTTTACTGAAAGCAAAACTAGAGAAATCCAAGTGTGTTGTTGACACATAGAGAGCTTTCTTGGGAAAGCAGGTTGGTGGTTACATTTTCAAGCAGAAGTCCATTAAAGTAGACAAATTATTTCTTTTGCCTAGATTTGAATTACAAAGTATTTGGTCACTTTTGATTTTCACTTTAAAACAGTTAACATTGCAGTTTGACTCAGAATTTAATCATTTCTCCAACATTAACTGATTGCTGTGTATGAAGTGCTGGGCTTGGAACATTCATTTGGAGATGTCCTGAAACCCTTTCTTACTCTTAAAAATCTGGCCAAGACATCAGGTGCTTACAGAGCTTTCTGATTAGTTAGTTCGTGCTTGATCTCGGGTGCTTGTGGGCCTGGTAATCTAACATGATCCTTTCCCTTTCCACTTCCTCCCCTTTCAGTCTAATAGCTGCATCCAGGCTCTGTTTTAATTGCCAAGAGAATGGCTAAAGTTGGACCAATAGGACTGTCTAGAAGACTTGAGTAACTAGGTAGAAGCCATTTCTGCCTGACTGTGCAGGTCTAGCATCCCCAACCCAAGTTTCATTCCTGTGACCCTTTGGAGTTAACTCGGTAGTGCTGTATCTCTGAAAGTGTCCTTGCTTCTGGCCAGTGAGCACAAGGTGCTGTCTCTGGGTCAGGGTATTTTCCCAGGACTCTCTTCCATGGTCACTCTACGGGGCCAGTGAAACAGCCTGGTCTCCTCCAGGACTGCAGGTGCCCAAGGAGTGTTTCCCAAACCACTTTTCATCGGGCCCAGGAAGTGGGTTTGTGTTTCAGATGTCTGAGGGGGGTTGAAATCTTTGGAGAAATTTCAGTCCTCTGTTATTTCTATACTGATTAGAAGGCAAACATTTACAAAGGTGGGTGCCATTGAAAAATGTAAACCCCCATATTGTGTGTGTATGACATTATCAAACAATAAAGAAAGAGAAAGAAAAACATGTGAACCCCAGGAATGAGTTGGTCATCCAGTATCGCTAACGAACAATAACTTTTATAGCCAAGGTTTAAAAATAATTAGTTTATTCATCAAACATTTAGATCAGGCTATATCTTAACCTACCCATTGGCAAGTGCCTTCTGCAAATAGAATATACAGTTCTTAAAAACTTCAAGTAAGCAATATTTTTTTCTCTTAAAAGACAAATCCGGGATACGGTGAACTGGATATTCAGTGAGCAAATGCTGGTTTACTACATCAACACCTTCCGGGATGCTTTTTGGCCAAATGGGAAATTGGCACCGCCAACTAGGATCAGAAGCGAAGCACAAAGTCAGGACACAAAGCAGAGAGCACAGCAGAAGCTACTTGAGAACATTCCAGGTGAGGCCTTGCCCCGACAGACAGACTGGAGAAGAGTGTTAGCACTGTTGAGAGGTGTCCCTGTGTCTCCCTGGAGGCTGCTCTCTTATCATCTGCAGAGAAAACACTGAAGAACACATTTTATGTTTAAAGTTTACCATGAAACTTTAGAAATGTGCCTAAAACACATTTAATTACTAATACAAGCAGTAACATATGCTAAAATTGTAGGCTTCATAAATGCCCTTCGATAAAAAGAATTCTAAAACCCTTCTTTTTAAATATTCAAGTGAACCAGCCAATTATGTTAATTTGGCCTCCATGCTTCATTTACTATATGTTGCACAACGTCACTTGAGGACAGAAAATTAATTTTTTCAGATCTCAGGATTGAGCAGTTGCCTAGCAATGATGGCTAATATTGTCAACTTGACAGGATCTAGAGTCCCTAAGAGACAAGCCTCTGCACGTGCCTTTGATCGATGATCTGACTTAGGTAATGTAGTTCAGGAGACCCACCTTACATGTAAGTGGTAGCCTTCCATGGAGTGAGGTCCTTGTCTGGACATGAAGGAGAAAGTGAGCTGAGTACCAGTGCCCAGCTGCTGCTCTCTGCTTCCTGACTGTGGCTGCAACTCAGCTCCAGCTGCTGTAACTTCCTCACCACGTTGGACTACACCTCAGTGCATGAGCCAAAATAAGCCCCTTATCCCTCTGTTGCTCTCTCAGGAGTTGTTTTATCACAGGCAACAGGAAATATACTCAACATGCTCAAGGCCCTGAATTCAGCCTTCAGCAGTCACCAAAACGTGCAAAATTTTCTTTTCCCAGATACACTTCAGAGCCTTGTTGGACAGCAAAATGCCCGCCATGGTATAATAAAAATATTCAAGGCACTGCAAGAAACAAGAGCCAATAAGCACCTGTTGTATGTGAGTAAGCAAGCCCCAGAGGACTCTCTTCTTTTTTGGATTTTATATTTCTGTTAGCATTTTGGATAGCTTTTAATCCTTAGTATCCTCAGTTGCTTTTATTACTTATAACTCGGAGCCTGTTTTTCTGCTTCTTTTGTCTCCCCTCTCATTTGATTAAGAAGTATAAAGGGGGACCTAGCGGTCCTCTCACACAGTAAGTTCTCCGTTGACTTCTGATTTGACATCTCTGCATGACTGTCGTTTTTGTTATTTCAGCAAAGGAAACTTTTTCTGATTAGAATTACCAATATCAGGCAGGTGTGGTGGTACATGCCTGCAATCCAAGGACTCGGGAGGTAGAGGCCAGAGTGGGCTCTGTGGTACATTATCTCAAAAAGAAAAGAAAAAACAGGCAAAACCAAAGGGCGGTGGGAAATGCCAGCATTAAATGTCATGGACAGTTGGATGTGTCTAATAGACCACGGAATAAATCGGGTCTCTGTAGTCTGCACTCTTCTGAGAGACACTTGTATTCTGAGGACAGTCTTAGAGCTATAAGTAGACGTTTGCCCAGCACACATTTTAAGTAAACCCTCACATAGCCCCTTCTCTGCCTTTCTTTCTCGGAACAGGTACTGATAGAGCTGCTGCTCACTGAACTGTGTCCCGAGCTGAGAACTCACTTGGATCAATTCAAAGCTGGGCAAGTCTGAGACTGCACAAACCAACCACCAGAGAAATGTCTGTGTAATAATAGACATGAAATTTTCCTCTTTTCCACAGAGGGCCTGACAAGAACACAATGATTTTTATTTTCGTACCTCCCTCTAGTTTTCTGTGAGATGAGCAGGATCAGAGGGAGCAGACTGATGCTGTAAACTCATGTTTATTGGTTTTTATTGAAATGATATAAATACTTTAGAGATCAACATGCTGATTGAAATGCAAATGTCAATATGTGATAAGAACATAGGAAATATTTTAAATATTTATGAAAACGGTTTTGTTGTGAAATGACAAACTCTGACTATTGTACAGTTAATTCCTCACTGAGGATTCCAAACATTCCTGTGTTTCACGTGTACGAAGAACTCTGTTGTGCGATGCTTGGTGTAAAGTTGTTGTGAAAATTTTATTGTCTTTATTTTTACCAAAGATTTCCCATAGTTTGAAGCATTTGAAGCAATAAAATTTAAAAATTAACTACAGTGCTCAAAGGTATTAAGTTTGTCACAGAAAGAGAAAGAGCTTGGACACTTGTGCAACTAAGATGTCTTTGTCAAGATCCTTTTCATAGACAGCGTCACCCACTGAAAACTTCTCAAGGATCTGTAAAGTTGCTGCCTGGTTTTTAGTGCATGGAAAAGGCCAGACTGGTGAGGTGCTGGGGAGATAAGATAAAGTATGTGGTAAGGAGAAGGGAGTCAGGTTGTGGTGGCACACGCCTTTCATCTCAGATCTCGGGAGGCAGAGGCAGGCAGATCTCTTAGAGTTCAAGGCCAGCCTGATCTACAAAGAGAGTTCCAAGACTGCCAAGGATATTACACAAAGAAACCCTGTCTCAAAAAAAAAATCACATGCAGACACACACACACACACACACACACACACACACACACACACACACACACACACGAGGAGACTGCCTGGGGAAGGGAAGGGGCTAGCTGTCGGGCTCCAGGGGTGGAGGGCAGTGAGGGAGAAGGAGTGAGAACAAAGTGTAGAGACACATGGGAAATCCATTTCTTTATGTGGATTACAAAACAGTATTTAGTTGTAGTCCTTTGGTTAATGACTTTTATGAGATTTTCTTCATATTTCTAAGACTTAAAAATGTAGAAAATAGATTCAAACAAAAGCATATTATTAAAATTCTTGTATATAAGTATCACAATGGTTTTTGCTCATTTAACTAAGATCTTTGACGGCACATTTGGAGGGACATGGTGCTAAGTAATTTATTAAATCCATTTTTAAAAAATTTACAAATTAGCCAGTTATCTGTAAATTATAGAAATGCTATACACTTTCTACATAAAGGATTTGGAAGTCCTGTCTTTAAATTCTCTTCGGCCTTCATTTAATTTTGTGAAAAATTTCAGATGACTCAGTACATTTTTAAATTAGCAAAATTCATAAAATTAAACAAATGCCAAAGAAAATATAAAGAATGATACTTTCAAATTATGTTTTTAACTAAGTTGGCAGCACATGGACTTGGGAAGCCACAACACTCAATCTGTCTAAGTCATTCAGACACTACATTTAATAAGGCAAAGGGGTACTTTCTCTCTGCATGCTTCAAGCCCAGTCCAGGCCACTCTGCAGCCCTCAGCGGTGGGTCTCTGAGGGCTCTTCCCAGCAATTCGATGGGTGTCCAAAGTTTGGTCCGTACAAATTACAGAATGCAAATATAAGAATGAAGGAAATGTTTCTGTAAAATACCCTGACTAATATAACTGGATGCAGGATATAACAGATGTATCTGTTAGGATTGATGGTCTTCGTTGAAATGCGTTGTGGGCTAAATTCTTTGGTGAATAAGTAAGGAGTGAAGCTCATCTGCCAATGCAGGGCTTAGACGACAAGCCTTAAATTAAAGAGAGAAGAGAGTCAGGTATTTGATAAATTCTCATTGCTTGGTTCTTTTTAAAAACAGACACACATAATTGTAAAATTAAAACTAAAGAATTATTAACAGAAATGGAAATCATTAACATGTGGTCTCAACCTGGTCTATCATGTGTGAACAAAGGAATCTATAATAGTTCGATTTTTACATATTTAGCTTTATTATGCCTAAATAGTGATAAGGTACACGATTCTAGAATGTCAAGTGATTGACAGGAACATCAAAGGTCATCTGGTACAAGCACCATTCTGAGCAGAAATTGTCTCTTCAGTGCCCAGGACATTGGTCTTTCCCTATTTGCTTAGCTTCTTGCTACTGGCCATAAGTTGTTACCTTCTAGGAGAAAACTTTTCTGTTTGTTTCCGAGACAGTAAAGTAAAAAGGTTCTTGCCTTGCATTGAGCAGAAATTTCCCTCCACATACTTTAGAAACATTGTGGGTCCTGGGAAAAAGCACAATGCTTAGAGATGCCTGACAGTGAGCGCTGACACCAGACAAGCGTCCCTGGTCTGACGCCTGGGGTTCTGCCATCTTACTGCCTGCCTTTGGTGTAGCTCCAAGTCCCCTCCCTCCATGCCACAGTTCCTCTGTGCAGGACGACAGTGACCACTATTGTCAGGACTCCCTCATGTTTAGTTCCCAATGAAACATACCCTGTTTCTTTCCACACACCTCGTAACACGTCACTAGTTTGCTGCCTCTTCATGCTCTCCACTTCGTCAGTCTCTCATGGTATGTGCTGGGCTAACTGTTACCATGTTCTCCGTGCAGTGTTGGTACAGCAATGGGGCTGCTATCTCCCAACAGGTGGAAAACCATTCTCATGTAGCTGCTGGTTTACTGCCCTTTCAGGGTGTTTATACCAAATATTGGGTCATTTTAACTAGGTTTTCTCCCACTCTTACCTACAAAGCACACTGGATAATCTAGAACACGAAATCCAATTGTTTTGGAGATTAGTATGGTACAAAAAGGTTTATATTTTTAGAAAAGTTACTTCATTCACACTCATCCCTTACATGGAAAGAATGGTGTGGCAGCAAATACCCCTGGCATCCGTTGGATTTGTTACTTTGGATATCTGTTTAAAGCACAGTAGCTCAGGGTCTCTAAACATGAGTGCACACTGGAATACTGTAGAGAGATTTGGCATTTATGGAGGTATCCCATTCCCAGAGACTACAAATTAATTCTTCCAAAATCAGGCCTGGCACTAGCCTCTAATTCCAGAATCTCTAGGACAAAAGTGGCAAGCTTGCCATGAGTTCCAGGCCAGCCTGGGCTACACAGCAAGACCTATGAGCACAGAACCACATAGAGTTAATTATGAAGCCATTCTAATTTGTGCTCATGAATATCATGGACCTAAAGCATACACAGTTTTAAAAATTCACACAGTTACTACTACAATCCCTGCCCCCTTTCCCAGCCCCATCAAAAAGTCTGAGATCTGAAAGTGACCACATGGATTAAAACATGAGAGGGTTACTGATAACTTTATACTCACAAAACTTTGTCTTGAGTGTATCGCTTTAAAACCTTCATTTAATCACAGTAGTAGAATGAAGATGTAGGATATATATGTTTGGTTTGGTGAGGACACAAACATTTAGGAGCTAAAGGCAACGGTAGGCCTTAATTTGCGGGTGGCAGCAAATTTAAGGAGACTAATTTATATCAAGATGGGACTTTTATCACCTGAGCTTAATTACGCTGATAAGAACCTACCAGATGTAACCTGCCCGAACTCACCACAGACCTGTTTTCTGCACAGGGAAAGGAAAGAACTGCAGAGAGCCGTTCCACTCTCTGGGAAGAGGCAATGGTTTCTAGGTAGGTCAGCTTCTATTTCATCCCCAGACTTACTTTAGAATAATAGTGTTTGGCAGCTGCTTCATCTTTCGTAATGCCCAGGCCAAGCTGGAGACACCGTGCATGGTAGAAAGAGGCCATGGCCATGCCTTTGCTGATGAACTCTGGGAGACAGTCTGTGACATGTGCTATCATGGGGATGTCATGAACCTCATCGTAGTCTGCAATCCTAAAGGGATGTGATATTTAAAAGGATTATCAGCCATGGTTTATGTTTTCACAGAACAACCTGTGGAAATTCTGTGCTCAAAGCCATGCCCCTAACCTGAGAATTTTGCTGTGTGGTGAAGTTATGTAATACAATCATCTAATAGAATGAAGTAGATCCTAGCGTCCTTGTGGCGATACTCATAGGAATTGACCATTAGAGAATTTTTGTTCTCATTAATATTTTAAGCATAATATAATCTTGGGGATAAAAAAGAATCCTGTATTCCCTTGTGTAGGGAGCAGGGGAAGCCCTGAGTGAGTGAGGTCCCTAGGGAATGTGTGTTTTGACATGGGCGCAGCCATATCAGGAACTCCAAGGCTTTGGACCCAGGGGACAGTCGTAGAGCTGTTACCCACTGGGCCAGGCTGGAAAGAAATGGCAAAGCTTTTCTTGGGGGTTCAAGTATGAGTGCTCTTGGGTGACTGATCAGTGTGTGCAGAGAGTAGCAACCACAGCTCCTCCTCCCAGATGTTTGCAACTGGAGACTGCTCCCTACAGAGACCTCCAAACAAAACAACACAGTGAGGTTCCGGCTTGAGGTGGTAGCAGAGCCTCGTTTCATTATTCGTGTGTCTGTGTGTCTGTCCTTTCTTCATTTCCTCACCGCCCCTAGCCAGGGTCCCAGGATCCAAGCTGCTGTAAACCATGGCACCCTTGGGACATCCACTGAAACATCATTCTTACATCTAGACAGTCAGTGCACAGGCGCACTTTAACACTGTAAGAAACTAGCATATGTATCCTGAAAAAATGTACAATAGAAAAGAAGCCAGCCTTTGAAAACTGTGCACAAATATGCGAACTTACATGTGGAGACCTAGTCAACTTCATGTTAGCTACAATGTTAGGAGGAATAAGAATATGGAAAATGATGCAAAGTTCTAAAACTTTTAAAGATCTGTTCAGGTTTGGGAGATGGCTCAGCAGATAAAAGCACTTACCACTAAGCATGAAGAACTGAGTTTAAATTAACCCTCAAGACCCACATAGTGGAAGGATCCAACCATGTTGCTTTCTGGCCTTCACAAAGATGCCATGGCATGTACACACACTACAAACAAAGGAATTGATGTAATAAAAATTGTAAGTACTGCCCAGAATCTTAGCCTGGATAGGCACTTGCTGGAGATACCAGAGGGGGCTCCTTCAGTGGCTTGCTGCCTGGAAGCTAAGATGTCTGGGGTGGGGAGGGGCAGGGCACAGACTTCTTTCTTGCTTTCATCTTCTCTCTATCTCCGTCACTCCCTGGCGTGGTGGGTGGGAGCATGTCTGGGACTATGAGCAGTTACTCTAGAGTGTGTCCTGGACTGTTTGTCCTGTTCTGTTCCCACTTTTGTACAGCATGGATAAATATATTTAGGCAGCAAAATGGAGCCTTGTGGACTCAGAAAAGTCTCCAAAGAATTCATAAGACATTTGTGTAAGTCCCCAAACAATACGACAATCACGAACCTTTATTTCAACCACGCAATGAGAAGTACATCACTGGGAGTACAGGAAGAGATTAAAGATTTCTTAATACGCATTTCTAATGTGTCAGTTTACACCAAGAAACCCATTTCAGCCTCAGCTCTAAAATCTGAAGATGAAATGGTAGAATTGTCCTTTCAATATGGTCAGCACTAGCCATACTGGCAATCCAATCAAAATGTAACGGCTTTAAAATCTCAGTCCTCAGTGGCACTGGAGTACTTAAGTTCACTGAGAAGTTGACATTTCAACCCAGAAGAAAATTTTCTTGGACAGATCGGGCATAGCACCTAGAACTTGGAAATATCTCTGCTAATTATTCAAATATTATTGTGGCTTGAATGTGTCCGATGAAACATTCATACATTGCCAGTGTCACAAGATTAAGAGATATTTAGGTCACAAGGGCTTCCCTCATTCGTAGGATTAAGGCCCTTCTATAGAAGGCTGCACACAGCCTTTTGGGGGCAAGGGTTGACCTTTGACACCCTGCATATGAGGACACAACCCCCCCCCAATGTCCCCATCCCCAGTAACCCCTGGAGAATGCAGGTTTTACCAGCCAACTGAACGTCATAGAACTTTGATCTTAGACTTCTGAGCTACAGAATGTGGGAAACGATTTCTACTCGTTATAAACCACCCACCTGTGATGATGGCATAGCAACACAACACAAAAGGAAGCAAGACAGTCACCTTTTGGAAAATGCAACACACTTGGTAAAAAACTTCATCTTGTAGTAGTACTCCACAAGAGTCCCCTGGGCATAGACATTCCCACGTTCCGCTGCTTCCCGTAAGCAATGCAGGGCGGCATCAGTGTCCTGCCGGATTCCCTGTCCATAAAAGTACATGAGACCAAGTGCACCCTGGGACTCCAGATTTCCATTGCCACAAGCTTCCGAATGCCAGAAAAATGCCTGAGAAATACAATTTCATTTTATTATCTGCAGGATGAAATTATGTAGAGGTTCTAGAAAGAAAAAGTTCTAATTACAATTGTATGGTTATGTGACAGGTCTCCAGGAATGCCCTTGACTATATTTGCACGGGCATGGAATCTACATGCTTCAATGAGCCGAGGTGAGTTTCACAAACCAGCATTGTTCATGGCAGAGGAAGGGCCACTGTCTTGGGCTTCCAGCTTTGCAAGTCTGACAGTAAAAATAGAGGAACTAAAGAACTAAAAACCTAGGAACTAAGGGAACGTTGCATCTTCAAGGAAGTTCACAGAAAATCACAGTGGATGCTAAGGGAATGGTAAAGCCTGTGTGTGTTTTCTTGTTACTGTGACCAAACATCTGATAAAAGTCAACTTCAGGAAAGAGGGGTAAGTATTTTGGTTCATGGTTCCCTCCTTCATGGCAGGGAAGGCATGGTGACAGGAACGTAAGGTAGCTGACTGCTCACACAGCCTCTACAGTCAGGAAGCAGAGGGGAGGTTGGGGGTAGAACCAGGCTATAAAACCTCAAACTCCACCCCCTAAAGATCCCTCAACTTTCCAAACAGTGCCACCAGCTGGGACCAAATGTTCAAACATAGGAGTCTCCTCAAACCATAGCAGAGCTCCGGCTGGATCTTGGGAGGAGCTGGCTGCCAAGATCAAAAACGACTTAGGCTGAACATGTCTGCACTTGTTACTTTTCTCACTGCTATGGCCAAATATCTGACAGGAACGGAATGGTTTATCCAGTCTGGGAAGGGTGCAGCCCACCACTTGGGAACATCACAGAGGTAGGAGCTTGAGATGGCTGGTCACATTGCATCCTCAGTAGAAAGCAGAGAGATGACTGCACCTGCTCAGCTATGGTGCTCATTTCTATTTATTTTCACAGTTATTTAATTGTGTGTGTGTGTGTGTGATCTTTTTCTCATGGGGGTTCTGAGGATCAAACTCGGGTTGTCAGGCTTGGTGGCAAGCACATATGACGCTAAGCCATCCCATTGGCTCGGCTTTTGTGTTGCTTTCATGGTCTGAGAGCCTAAGGAATAGTGCCACCCACTGTCCCATTCACTATCAGAGCATGTCTTCCCACCTCGTCCTAACCTGAGTCCCTCACGGATCAGCCCACAGACTCTCTCCTTAGTAATATCCATCCCAATATCATGTGACCATTTGTCTAGCACTCTGAATCTGATTTAAAGACATTAGGAGTGGCTGCTCGGATGGAGGAACATTCCTGGCTGTTATCTGCCTCTAAGGAGTTTGCCATTAACCCTTCACTGGCCAGTAGGACTTGGCCCTACATTTCCTCCTCCTGTTGTGAGACTGTGTGTTTCACAGAAATGCAGTGGCTTTAACTTTTAATTCCCAGTGTATTTTATTCACCAGGGTCATTTAGTACTTCCTCAAATCAAAGGAAGCCTGACTTTACTCAAGATTAAATGGTTCTAGCCATTATTTCAGGAATGTGCCCCTTCATTTAGTGTGTGCAATGTTGTGCCTTGTTGATGTAACCTTTTCTGGCAGACGACAGATTCCCACATCCACAGTCTCCTTTGCTTTTATCAGGGAAGACAGCATTTGTACACACTGGAAGGGTTTGAGCTGAGTTTGGAGATTTTTGATGATGAATCTTGACTGTCACTTTGGTTGGGCTAAGAAATTCTGAGGCAATGAACCACAGTTTTGTGTATCCATGTGAGGGGTTTCCAAAGGAGATTAAGGGTGGGGTGCGCCTGACACCATTCAATAGCATCAGGATCAGGATGGGACAAAAAGGGGAGTTGGGGGAAGCCCACTAATGTAAGCAGCATCCTCTCTCTCCCTCTCCCTCCCCCCATTTTCCCGCTTCATGGCTGCAATGAGGTGAGCAATAAGGTGCTCTGTCAGATACTCGTCATGGTGATGGAAAGTCAAAGACAAGATCCTTACATATGAGCTTCCTCTACATTGGTCAGGAAATGGAAGGGTTTCCAAGCCTACACACTGCACAGTCACTTCTCTGAAAAGAACTGGTGAAAAGATTATGAATCTACATATACAGCTAGTGTTAAAGGGAAGAGGAATGGGATATAGCTAAGTTTTCGAGTGCTTGCCTAGCATAGGCAAGGCTGGGGTTTTGCCAGTACCAAAATAAATACAATATTAAGATGGGATGGGGAAGTTACCTTTTCTAACTGTTTGGGCTCTTTCATCGAATAATACAGTCCTAGAATACTTTGAGCCTTCACGCTAGCTTTTGGGTTTCCGTTGTCTGCAGCAAACAGCCACAGTCTAAGAGAAAACAAGGGAAGTTATTCTCTGCTACAGCTTTTCAGCAGCACAGACTCCTACTCCCAGGGAACATTACCTCTCTGCTTCATCATCCGATCGTTTCACACCTTTTCCTTCAAAATAAGCTCTTCCAAGGTTGTAAGCAGCAGCGAATTTTAAGTGTATTGTTTGGGGGCATGGAGAATCAAGAATTTTCTTCATATAGTTCACTCCTTTTTCCTTCCACAAAGGAAAAGAACAAACAAGCAAACACTAGTTTTTAGTCTAACTCAGACTGAATGTCTTTCTTCCTATAGTATATACGTTCACGTTGACCACGTGCAGTAAATTACAGATCTGTGCCTAGGAGTTTGTTTGCTCTGGATTTCCATGGATGGAGACAAGAAAGGGAGGGTTGTATGGAAGTGTGTGCTGATCAGGCATTCCTAGGAACTATGGAGTGAATGTCTTACACTACCCCCTCTCAAGCCCGCTTTGATTGAATGTGCTCCTTCGTAACAAACGTCCAAAGTGCCCATCTTATGTGGCATCTGTATGGTGACACAGTTGGCATTCTAACTACGAGCGACACAACATCTACCTGGGTAAGCAGAGGTTTATGCATAAGCCTGATAACCTGGAACCCATGTGGCGGAAGACGAGTTCTCCTCTGACCCCTATCTGTGTGGTGTTGTGTCTGTGTGTCTGTGCGTCTTCGCATGTGGGTTCAGGTGCCTGTAGAGGTCAGAAGAGCACAACGGATACCTGGGAGATGGAGTCATAGGTTGTTGTGAGCCACTGACTTAGGAGTTGAGAATCAAACTCTGGTCTTCTGCAAGAGCAGTAAGCGCCATTAACTGTTGAGCCCTTTCTCCAGCTCCTGTCTTGTCTTTGGACATAAAAGTCCTGGGAACTGTCTAAAGGTGTGCAGGACATAACTGATGTATACTTCAGAAAGATGACCTTGGCTGTTGTAAGAATGAGGACAGATTAGAGGTGTGTTTTATATTATAATCAGGTGAGGGACATCATGGGTCTGAAGAAACAGAACATAGGGGATAAAGGCCTGGGTCAGATGATATTCAAAAGACAATATGAGCAGTTGATTACAGAAAATAATTTGCTTCTGTTTGTAAAAATATTTTGCCCACATTTTGCTTTTAGCTTTAGGAGCTATGTTTTATGGAATAAATGAAGCATTTCATGACATTTTTTAGCACACACTGAAACCATGATAATTTGTTTCATTTAAACTATCCAAGTAGTATGGTGTATTTAGAGATCCCCTTAGGTTGAATTAATAAACTTCTGACTAAAATTCTTGCTTATGTTATATGCTATTCTTTTCCTGGATTACTAAGCCCATTAGTATCAAGAGAAAACATTTTACCAGAGTAACAGGTAGCATGGTAATTTTTCTCAGAAGATAGACTCTTTCTCTAGTAAAGTTCCTTAAAACTCACTGGAAGTAAGGTCTTGATGACAGTGTCAGCATGAGGCCACAAGGTTAGATACTCACTGAGTCTACTATAGATCTGATACCTGGGCATATTACAGTGAACAAGAGATACACCTCCTGATGTGTGAAGCTTGCCTTCCAGTGAGGGATAAATACGTTAAACAGAAAAGAAACCATCAAGTAGCCATTACAGCTACAAAGAAATAAAGGGTGCTATTTTACAGCACAACCACAGCAAGCTTCTAAGAAAGCATCTGATCAAATACTGGAATTGATAGAAGGAAATGAAGGGGTGAGAATGATGCTCCCTGGGAGAAAATGGATCAGCTTCCTCGTCTTGCAGAGGACGAGAAAGCAAAGAGAACAGAGAAAGAGGCGAGAAGTGGCAGAAAGGAGTCGGTAAGGTTTTGTAGAATCTTTCCCCACAGTGCCAATTTCTGACGTGGCCTCTCAAACTTTAAAACTATTGACAGCTGTGCTATTTGTACAGCATGTAAGAATTCTTTTATGTAAATTGTATGTGAAATTTCAAATGTGAGTGTTCACGGGATGTCTATAATCTTTTCAGGAAGCACTTCAGCATATAGAAGGGTCAGTCGTGAGAACTGAGCTCTTTGCCCATCCCTGGACCACAATGAAGGAAACTCAGTGGTAAACTGCATTTTCCAGGAGAGAGGGAATGGTCCTAAGGCATCCAATGAATTAGAAGTGGTGTGGGATATTTAATTCACTAGCCTCGCTCACCACACGAACAAAAATATGGTGACACCTTCAATGTGGAAGCCTTTCTTGAGGACCAGTCCTTGTGTTCACATGGAGGAGGAAATCACTGGAAAGATGAAGCAGTTCTGTAGTAGCTGGGGATGGTTATTCAAGTCCAAGTACCATTGTTTCTGATGTAGTTATGTCAAAAAGCTGTTTGCTTACATTTGGAGCCGAAGGAGGACGAAGGGGCAAGGGACCAAAAGAAATTAACTTTGTCTTTCATAGATGTGACATCAGTATTCATTAAAATACTAAAAATTAAATACTAAGATGTGAAAATGGGGCCCGACATTGGTGGCACATGCCTTTAATCCCAGCACTCGGGAGGCAGAGGCAGGCAGCTCTCTGTGAGTTCAAGGCCAGCCTGGTCTACTGAGTGAATTCCAGAACAGCCTCCAAAACAATACAGAGAATACCTGTCTCGAAAAACAAAAAACAAACAAACAAACAAAAAAAGATTAAAAATGGGGACACATTGTTAACACACAAACATGGCATCAAATAATCCATTATAGTAAAATCTTAAACACCTTGAATAAAACAATAACTTACGGCATTTACAGTGGTCCCCAACCCGTCATAATACATCACTCCTAGCTGATAAATTGCTTGATGATCTTTCTCCTGGATTTCTTCAAACTGTGCCAAGGCTTCTTCATACCAGCCCTAAAAGCCCCAGAAAATATTTCATTTTATGATGTGTTTAAAGTAACCCTGAACTGAAGCTTCAGATGGTCACTTGTGCCTAAGGACAGATACACAGTTAACAGACGATGTGCCATATTGGAAATGGCCCAAACCGAGAAGACATTGTCCTAAGCCATCAGGCCTTGCCATATCAGGCAGGTTGTGTACACTGAGGCCTCAGGAGAATCAAGTAAATGAAAGGTTAAAGGGAAAGGAAGACACGAGCTAATAATTTCCCAAGTGCTAAAAGGATCATGAGGGACTGGGGACAATTCCTCAGGGTCAATGAAAACTAGAAGTTCTATTTCTGAAGTTGATCTAATAGCACACAGAAGTTTTCTTAGATCTACCTACAAAGCTATCCACCATAATGTTGATAAATAAGGACATGGTCTCCTCATGATGTATAGGATCTATGAAAAGCTACTTTTTTTAACCAAATAATGATGTGATTCAAATGTGAAAATATCTCCTGAATGATACTACATATTGTGAATAAAACCATGAAATGTATGTTTTCAACTTGCGGTGTGAAATGGATCTTTCAAGATGACTCCTTTGGAATAACTTTGGTAAAGAAAGATCAGATGTCTCCTTACTCTTACATCTATCTGTGCGCCACACATAAAGCCACAACCAAAGCCTATGCGACAGAATTTCTCAGGCATAACAATGTAAGAAGCTCACCTGAAAGTTACCATGACCATCGGCTGCCTCTACTTTTTGTGTGATGCTGGGGGTGGAACCCAAGGCCTGTCTGTCCTACGCAATTGCTCCATTACTACTCAAATAACCCCAGCAGTTAGGTCCTAACAATACAGTTATACAAAAGGTTTTAAAAATGGTGCAAAAGATACCTCTTCAAAATAGAGTTGGCCTCTTAGAAAATATGCCATCGCGTCCCCTCTTCTTATTCTTTCTTTCAGGAACTGCAATGCTGTATCCACCAAATTAGCGTGGCGGTAATAATCTAATGTAGAAAGGCAAAACTGCATTAACTACATAATGTGAAGTTCTCTCTTGAAGCCATATGTAATGGAGAAGTCAGTTTCTCTCCAACTTCTAGTTCCTAAAATTTAGCTCCAAGAAAGAATTATTACCTAAATAAACTCATGATCACAGCACCTAATACAACACGTTTCATAAACAATAAGTGCTTACTGAGTTTGGGACTACTGTTCATTGTCGGGTAAGCACTTTTAATGCAGCCTCTGTATACATTGGGCAAAACTGTCTTATGGTCAAGTTAAACTCTTAACTTGAGTCATATTTAGCACTACTAATCAAATGAGCTGACCATCTCCACTTCAGTTTTTAAAGCTTATATGAAAATAGCTTTAAATATTCTTTTGCAGTAAAGCACTGTGTTGCCCTCTCTGGGGGAAGTAACACCCCAGCTTCTCTTTTTTTAGAAGCAGCACCTTCAGTCCTGAGAGTAAAATCATTATCAGGCTTGAACTGTGAGACACCTCAGGCGCCAGCTTGCTGTCTAAGAAGGTTGCCAGCCTCTGGGGAAGTCCCAGAAATGAGTTAACTACATCCTGGAAACCAATGACATGTCTTTCTTTTCTTGTTAATTCTAGAATACATGGAATTTCAGTAAAAATATTTTCCAAGCAAAGATTAAACATTTAGATTTTATACCAGGCTTCTCCTTCTTCCATTGGAAGAATGTCTGTTGTTTAGCAGCATACTGAGATAGTGAGAAAGGGTTTTTGGGCAACTTTTCACTAGTGAGTTTCATCCTGTCTCCACAGCGTGGATCCTGTAAACAAGAACACATATGATGATTACATTTCTTCTTCCAGAAAAGCACAAAAGGAGACTTCACTCCTAGTTGTAACGGATCCTAAAAGCATTTGCCCCACAGTGCCTGGCTTCAGGACCTCTAGGTGGCAGCAACTCCTGTCTGAGGGCGAGTTCACAGTTGATCCTGAGTCCTGTCATTCGCAACTGTTGCCACTCACAAGATGATTCCTGTCGTTAGGGACTTTCTGTTACTTTGTAAGTGAAGCTTATCCGAGTAATCCATTTCAAATGAAAGCATCTGTCTGTTTTACCTGGGAATACACTGAATTTTAGCTGTGGTGCTCAGTTTTCTCTTCCAGTCTGTATTGGACTGCCATGTTACCAGATGGATCGCCACTGTATGGTAAGTCAGAGCCTTCATATAAAATGTAGGGGCCACCTCATTTGGGATGAAGGAGTCCAGGTTGACCTAGGCTGAGGGTAGTGAGGACAGCAAACTCTGTTGTTGCTATGCTTTTTATTCTTTCTCTTTTGCTCCTTGACATTCTACTGGTTCAACTTACTTCCACCAATCAGGAGCCAGCTCCCAGGCAAGATCTCTGATTGGTGGTCCTCAGAAGCTCACAAGAGAAACTTTGAGTGATTGGGAAGCTGTGTTTATATACTTACAGGATACTATTTTAAGCAACAAGCCGCTTCATTAGATGACAGTGAGACTCAAAAGAAGGAGACATGGTTAACTAAGTTAGTAGCACCAATAAAAGCAACAAAATCACTGAAGTGCTGTGGGAGCTAATTTCATTATCTGTAGTTTGAAGTAAAGGATCTTAAAGTGTCCTTTCCTTGATATACAATTAAATGGACCCATCATGGTGCCTTAATGTCTTTACAAAGTTACTGGTTACTGGACAGGAGAGATGGCTCAGCAGTTAAGAGTGCCAGGGTTTAATTACCAACCAACCACATGTCATCTCAAAACTGTTTATAACCCTAGTTCCAGGGGGATCAGATGCCCTCTTCTGGTTTATTCAGGCACATGTGAGGCACATACATACATGCAGGCAAACCACTCATAGCACATAAAATAAAAACTAATTAATTAAAACAACACCAACAGCAAAGTACTTCCAGAGGATCTGAGTTTGGTTCCCATAACCCACTTTGAGTGGGTCACAACCACTTATAGCTCCAGCTTCAGGAGATGACCACACTCTTCTGGCCTCTGCTGTCACCTGCACACAGTGACATATACACATAAAAAAATAAAAAGATCTTAAAAAATAAAATAATTGGATTATGTGTATTTCACAATCTAAGTTTCCACTAGAGATTGTAAAATTCCCAAGTGACCGAAACAACATGTGTAAGGTATTTAGAAGGAAATGACCCAAACGGAATGACAGCACACTGTCACCACCACTCACAAACTGGATGGTAGGTTTTTATGTCACTGAAGATATTAACATAATATGGTACTGTTTCCAAAAGGTTTAAAGCAGTGGTTCTCAGCCTTCCTAGTGCTACGGCCCTTTAATACAGTTCTTCATGCCATGGTCACACACACACACACCCATAACATTATTTTCACTGCTACTTCATAACTACAATTGTGCCACTGTTATGAATCATAATGTAAATATCTGATATTTGACCCCAAAGGGGTCGTGACCCACAATTGAGAACCCCTGGTTTAGAGAAACCTTGGCAAATCTAAGAAAGACACTAGAAATAAAATAAAGCAAAACACCATGTTACCTCATCTAAATCCACATTGTTGTCTTTGGCTAGAAGACTGCACATGATTTCTGTTGTTTCAGTGACTTAACGAGTGTTTCAGAGGACCTGAAAAACAACAGAGAAATGGACTCATTCAATTCCTACTAAATGTTAGGTTTGAGAAAGGGATTCATTCAGCTCCTACTAAATGTTAGGTTTGTTTTTCTTAAAGTGTTGATTCCTATAAAACGAGGAAATGGAGATCATTTTAAACTCTGTTGAATACACAGGAAACTGGCAGGACAGGGAGGTAGGTAGGTGATTCACCTGATATCAAAGTTCCTGGTTGGCAAGGGCTCTCTCTCTCAAAGCAAAGTCAGTGTAATGTTTACATGTGTTAGAAATGTGGGCCCTTCCACTTTAAGAAGCTGGTTGGTTATTTTGAGAAACTGATCCTGCAGTCTGTAGCAATTGGTGCTACTATTAATCCCACCGATCGAGATCAAGACCACCACCACCACAGTTTAAAGTAATATTTGAGGCACGCTTTAATTAAATACTGGCCAGGTGGACGGACTCTGGCCAGGGCCATACTCAGGTTCCCTGGAAATGGTCCAGAATCAAGTATGGCAAGGGCTTAGGAAAGAAAACCCATTAATTCATTACATTTGCCCTCAGGTTCAATTAGGCTAGTGAAAAGATGTGGCTTGTTGTCTCCCACAAACAATAGCCCCATCTGTCCTGGGGCTGGGGGCTTGCACATCAGAGCCATTTTTGTTTCTTGGATTGCTAAGGCATGGTAATTAAAACTTAAACTTTGGCTCTCACACCTCTCACGTTTGTACCCTGGACGTAGACAACTGACAAGTGGTGCTGTGAACACGCGTGACTTAGAGGAGAAAAGTAAGCCTTGTTCACCAGAGACGTTAGGAAAGTCAGCCTATGTCCTTGCTTTGGGAACTTCTCTCTGGAATCTTCTCCTCTGCCCCATGCTGTTCATAGCAGCTGTCCTCCTTATTTTTGGGCTCTAATCTAACTCTCCTAATGTTCTCATAATACCTATAATTGCTCTCCCACCCCTAGGCCTGACCATGGTCCCCACAGTCACCGGGCTGCCTCTAACACAAGCTAATTTCTGAGCAGTAATTTCCACTCTGATTTCAAGATGAGAGGCGAGAGCTAAGAAAAGATTTTAAATTTGAGAATATCTATTTATTCTGCCAAATTTTGACATTCCGCATAAAATCATCTGAAGCTTAACAACTGTGTACATACTATATCATGAGCTTAGACCATCCTTGTATAGAAACTGTGGGCGTTCACTGATAATGTATAATCTGAAAAGAACCTGTGATTTTGGATTTTTGATTATGATTATTTATGCGTGTGTGTTTATGCACGAGTGCAGAGGTCAGAGAACAAGTTCTCCCCTTCTACCCTGTGGTTCCTAGTGCTAAAGGCTTGGCACTAAGTGGCTTTACCCACTGAGCATCTCCATACAGAGCCTGTGACTTGGTGAAGCAGAGATGGCATTCCCTTCTCAGATCCTCTTTAGTGTCCCTATGTCTCTGAAGTCAGCCACTCAGAAGCTATGAATTCTGACAACAGCTCAGGCCATAGTCACACCCTAGTCAGTCATGAGTCTGGCAGACAAACCACTTAGACCATTGCTCTATTAAAAGAGGCAATCCAGCCAGGCTGTGGTAACACACACCTTTAATTCCCATACTCAGGAGGCAGAGGCAGAGGCAGGCGAGTCTCTGAGTTTGAGGCCAGCATGGTTTACAGAGCAAGTTCCAAGACAGCCAGAACTACACAGAACTGAATTGATGGTGGTGGTGGGGTAATCCATGGGGGTACCCCTGCACATTCTTGCCGAATGTATGAAGAATGCATGGTGCTATGTGTTCTTCTGTGACCCTTTCTGGGAAGGAGGCATGCGTGTGCTTTGAGTTAGTAACCTTAAAGGACATGGTAACGCACGCCTACAGACAGAGGGCAGTCTTGCTTTCCTAACAGGTATTGAGTTGCCCAAGGTTAGTATGCCTCTCTCAAAATGCAGTCTTCTGGGTGTACCAAGCATCCCAGCTGGCTTTGCCTTTTGAGTCACCTCTGTGAGAACTGGGGAACAGGGTGGTCTGCGGAACTGGCCCAAATATTATGCCGTCAGCCCTAGCTACTGTGTTTACAATGAGCAATAGGGTTATCTGTCCCTGACCCAGGACTCTTGCTGTCTGCCCGTATCCGTGAGACAAGCTAGTAACAGTCATGTATCAAAGGAAAGCATAATCTACCCTATCCATATGTGAAAGAGAAAATCATTGTCATTGATTTGTGACAAGATTTTTAATATTGTCAAGACAATATTGAAGCAGGCAGTGATTTTTACTTTCTTTCCTTTCAGGAGGGCCCGTTTGTTCACTTACAGTGAAAGTACTTGCTCCTTCTGGGTGTGATTAGTTTACATCATTCTCTGAATGAGAAGGAAAGGGTACTATTATGCCTGCTAGGCTATGGTAAGCATTCACTGAGAGCCAAGTAGGGTTTCCTTTATTCTCCCCATTTACCTTGTATTCTGTGAGCAGTGACAGTGAGGGGGAAGATGACATATTCAAAACCCTAACTGCAGTCACAAAAATAGGATTTGCCTGCTTCATCCAGTCATTTCCTGTTTGGAAACCCGTGTTGGCCAGCAATGGCTGCCAGGGCCTTTTGTGTGATCAGTACTGGGTGTGCCCAAGATGTGGGTCTACAAGACCCAGAACAAACTTGACAGAAAAGCTTTTAAGTGTAGACAGGAAGAAGTGGATGAATTCTCAGAGAGAGAGAGTTGTGTCCCTCAAAGGGAATGGGAGTCCTTATTTTGAAAAACTTACCTAGCCTTGTTCCAGAGCCATTTGAATAAGTCATAATCGAAAAGAGTTCAAGGGGACAGCTCACTGTTGGCAGGTAGTTAAGTTTTTTCCCCTTTTTTTAAAGGTTATTTATTATGTATATAGTGTTCTGTCTGCATGTATCCCTGCAGGTCAGAAGAGGGCACCAGATCTCATTACAGATGGTTGTGAACCACCATGTGGTTGCTGGGTATTGAACTCAGAACCTCTGGAAGAGCAGCCAGTGCTCTTAACCTCTGAGCCATCTCTCTAGCTCCATGGGTACTTAAGTTTTATAACACTACTTTCCCTCCCGAGTCTGGCCACGTGAGACGAGACACCAGTGGACATTTCCAGCTGGGCTCTAATTGAATGAGGCAGCACAAACCACTGAGTCAGGCAGGCTTCAAGCACTTTGAGTCTGTCTGACCCACAGGGGAATTTCCCTTTCTATTTTTAGCCTCTTTATTTTTGTTTTTTACACTGGGGATTAAACCTAGAGCCTCATTTATTAGGCAAGAACTCTACCACTGAGCTATTTATTATCAGCTTTCATTCAACACCCAGTGGTAGGCATATAATCTAGAGATTATATATGTATGTTTGTAAAGCTCATGCCATTGTAGGTTTGAATACATGGTAGAAAGAAACGATTTACTGATTTACTTTTGGAGATCGTGTAGTTAAAGTATGTGAGTAAAACTCTTTTATATGGAAAATTGTTCCTCACCCTCCCAGTATGGCACCAGTTCAGAATAGAAACAATCATTTAAAAAAGTGGCAAAAATCTCAAGCAGCAAGATTGTAAATTGGTCTGCTGCCCTGGTGACTACGAAAAGCATATCAAGTAGAGAATCTCAACCATCTAGAAAACAATCCCGAGAGACAAGGCTGCTTGTCCCTGCCCCAAGTCAAGTCCTCAGATGACTCTCAAGTGACAGGTAACTCCAGTTGTCTCTAGTCTTCTGGGGAAGGTGTGCCATTCTCAGAGAAAGTCAGGAATTTCAATTTTAGAGTCAGACAGAGAGAATGTTTTCTGGAGTAATCCTTCTATGTGAATATATGTCTCTATGATTGGTTTAACAAACAAGCTGATGTGAGTCCCTGAGCACCATCTCCAGAAGTGAGCTTTCCACAGCACTCCTTCCCACCCTCCTGCTTACACTGTTTTCTAACACTTCCTGGCTGATAGTCCCAGAGCCCAGGCAGGGGTGGTAGCGGAGAGCAGATAAAGACATCTGTTTATGGTTGAGCACTCAGTAACCTCCATGCTACAGGACAGAGACACTAGTCCCAAGTCTACTGGGAAACTACCTTCCTGCTCTCCAGCTTTCATAGGACCGGAAGGTGCAATGCCGTCTGTTGGGAAAGAAAAGATACCAGTAGTCTTATTCACTGCTAGACTCCTCACACTGTAATACCAGGCAAGGTGTGCCCACTGGTGTGATAGTGACTGTCACCGGGCAGCTCACTGCTTTCTAATTGGATTTGAGCCTGTTCCTCAGAGGGGAAATATCATGCTCGGTACTGTAATCCTGCTCAAAAGACCATGGATGGGGAAGTCACACGCTCTAAGGCAGAACTTGCTACTGTTATTTTTCCAGATGGCTAGGTTCTCAAATACATGCCCCCCCCCCTCTTTTGAGACAGGGTCTGCAAGTTTCAGGGATTCTCCTATGTTCACAACTACAGCTTTGGAATTACGAGTGCAGGTAGCTTGTTTGTTTTGTTATTATTGTGGGAGCTGGAGCCTGAATGCAGGTCTTTTATAGATCATCACTTTTCCAATTCAGATATTCCCCCTAGCCCCTTTCCATCTTTTACAGTTAGTTGACTTTCACCTATTCTGAAAAATGTTGAAGTCACTTTGTTGTTTAATATCAAATTTTAGCCTATTTCTAGGAAACATATCATCTTGTTAGTATGCAAACTGCATTGTAACCTTATAAACTGTAAAATTATACACCTATGAAAGAATGTTGCTAAAAACAAATTTAAGATTTATTATCAGAAAAAGTTTGATTTGTACCTGTTTTATACACCTATACAACTGGATCAAACAGTTTTCTCAGGCAAGGGGGTTGGGCATGATTGGAAAAAGTTTTAAGAAGCCCTGTTCTAGGGAGGAGTCTAAGACCCTCATGATCGCCATAATGGTTTGTGTGTCTTATCAAGGAAATATATTGGTTAGTGATATTAAATGGTTGAAAACTTTGTGACTAGTTGGGAGATCTGTGATTGTGTTAAACTTGCTGTTCTTTAAAACTAGCTTCATACTGGTTCAAATATTTTGTTACAACTATTGAAAAAGAATACTATTAAACCAGCAAACTAAATATTTAATTAAAACTCCCTTAAAAGCCAGTGCTTAAAGAAAGAAACGTAAAATGTTTTAAATTTCTCCAAGTCTTCTGTTTCAAATAAATTTTGAGGTTTACCAGATGATATGTCTCTTAACTGTTTGATTCCTCTGTTGTTAACATTTATGTTTACCATAATCAGAAAGTCAGCATTGGTACACTACCAGGATTTCAAGCATTATAATTAGTACATTGTCAAGAATTTTACCAGTAATGCCATTTTTCTGCTTTAGAACCTCATCCTAAATTACTGTTTACTCTGGTCTGTTTCTCAGCCCTTCCTGATTTATCATGATCCTGACAGCTTTGAGTAGTATTGGCCAAGTATCCTGTCAAGTATCCCTTTGATTCAGCTTATCCGATGTTTTAACCTGAGTTCTGGGTCATGGAATGTTAAAAACTACCTGGCCTAAATAGTACTTGGCTGCTTTCTTCACTATCATCTTTTATGTTTGCCTTCCCTTATTCTTAACAACCAGAGCGAGGGCCATAACAAGACCCCCTCCTTCGTGTTGCCCCAGCCTTGGCAAAACTCCCTGTATTTACTAGGTATTTTCCAGGACCAGGTGTGTTTCAGGCCCTCCTTGAAGGGATGCGTGACAATGGGTGGCTTATCTCACAGACCTGGCGGCACTGGCTGATAATTCACTTCGTTTTGTAGGGCATTTCCTTTGGTAAGCCCTGGTCAGAGTCACATCGCTGAGCCCCACAACGCTTGCCGAGACCCCTTCTTAAGCCTCCTGAGCTGCACCGGGGTGCAGGGTGTGAGGCAGAAGGCAGCTTCCCTCCGGCCAAGCTGGAGGCCGAGGAGGGCATGCAGTGTAGGGATGCTGCTCCGCTTCCCTCCTTTCCGGCCTACGTGCGAGCTGGCAGACACGAAGCCCAGCCCCAGCGACTTCTGCTTCCCCAGGGGGATAGAGGGCTTGACTCCACCCGGTGGTACGTGCCTCGTTCAGCACGCATCATGGCCGCCGCCAAAGAGCAGAGGTGAAGGCTTCTACCCTCCCCGCCCATCGCCTTCACTGCGCACGCGTGCCAGGGCCGCCGGGGCTCCGCTCCAAACGGGGCGGACCCACAGGGGGCCTGGAACTGACCAATCAGATGGCGGGGCTGCGCAGCAGGCTCCCTCCCCTTCCCCCGCCCCGTGTTCCAGGCTGCGTGTGTCTGTGTTTGGGTATTGAGGCCGCCGCAGGACTGGGAAAACCTCGCTGTGGGGCGCTCCCGGGCTAGGGAGCAGCGGGGAGGAGCCACCCTGCTAGTCCCGGAGAGCTTTAAATTGTCCCACACTGGGGCAGTCCCGCGCAGTTACCTTCCAGTGTGCAGCCAGTGCAGCCTCTCTGCACTTCCGGGGACTCTTGTTATCTGCTTTAAGTGGGCGATGCTGCTGCTTAATTGCAACCTGGAGGTGAGGTTCCTGTTCCTTTAAGTCCTTCAGGCTAAATCTTCCAAGAGGTTCATTTTAGGAGCTTGAGCGAGGGTGACAGTGACTGACCGCTGAGTTACCAAATCAAACCTTGTCAGATTTTTGTTTCCTATTTTCGTGGCGGGGGTAGGACAGGTCAGGAAAGTAACTATCTGTTCTCTTCCAGCAGGACGGTGGCCTTAAGAATTTGCTGGAGACAGGAGCATCAGTCAATGCACCCCCGGATCCCCATGAGCAGTCGCCTGTTCACCTAGCTGCAGGGGGAGGACTTGCTTGCTTTCTTCTCTGGCAGCTGCAAACAGGCGCTGACCTCAACCAACAGGTAACTAGGTAACCCATTGTTGCTATGTACAGCCCTCCCCTCCACCCAGTGTCTGCTCAATAGCTGCCGGCTTCAGTTAGTATAAACATGCATATAAGAATTCCCAGTACACACACACACACACACACACACACACACACACACACACACACACACACACGTATGTATGGTGACTTGAAACATTTTTAGTATCCACATTAATAAAGCAAAAACAAGCCATGAGGTTAACTTTATAATTTAATCAAATTCTGTCCAGAATTTCTGTAATTATGTATCACTAATGATTGGTGTGCTATTTTACTTTTGCTTTTTTATTCTTATGACTTAGCTCAATTCAGTTTAACCACATTACAAATGCTCTTTAGCAGTAGGTGGCTACTGGCTATCCAAGCACACTGTATAGTATACATCTACAGTAGTTTTGGAAGTCGACCAGGAGATAATATGTGGGAGACTTGCCCAGCATCAGTTCTTCCAGTAGATTTAATCTTCATTAAAGTGTGATAAGCTTTTTAATTATAAACTTTTATCTTGGATAGAACTGTAATTTGCTGATATTCCCTTAAATTTAATGTATGTGAAAGTGGCTGCATGTTTTTATTAATGGAAACTCTGTATTAGCACAACAAGAGAACTTTATCAAAAACATAATTGAATAAAAGAATTCAGTTGTTACAAGGCAGTTTTCACTGGTTTCCTCAAATAGCTAACATTAGATTACCTACTGGCTTCCACAGAGTGTTGGGGAGACACTAATGTGCTATCTTGTCCTAAAGGATGTTTTGGGAGAAACTCCACTCCACAAGGCAGCCAAAGTTGGAAGCCTGGAATGCCTTAGCCTCCTTGTGGCCAGTGATGCCCAGATTGAGTGAGTATAAAATCAGTGGCTGCTTTGTTTTCTTGGATTAAACTAATCATACTTCTAAAGCCTAAAAATGATGCTTGGCTAACTGGTAATTTGACGTTATCCTTTCGAATATTATCACATTGAGTAAGTGGAAATAGATCCTGAACATTCAGAACTGCAAGTCTTCATCACAGCAGATTCCATGACAGTTTTAGTTTAGGAAGACTCTTCCTATAGAAGTTCTTATTGACTCTATTTGGCTATTCAATATAGTGAATACTGAACACCAAATGCTCTTGTAGTTATTCTGGTTCCTTCAATATGATAATGGAATAAAAATACAATGGAATAAAAGTACAATGGAATGCTTATGGTGTGCAGAATGTGTTAGCCACTGAGCATAAAACAGTGAACAAAACTAAACTTCCATGAGCTCTCTTTAATTTCTACTCGTGTGTGTGTGTGTGTGTGTGTATATGTATGCATGCATGTTCACGCTCGTACTTTAGACTTACTTGCACCTTTTAAAATTCTGTACCCAGTATTGGTATGTGCTAAATTTCCATTGGTTAGCAAACTAATAAATAATAATTTTCACTTCTCAACATTTGTCTAATTACAGCTTATGTAATAAGAATGGGCAAACAGCTGAAGATCTTGCTTGGTCATGTGGATTTCCAGAATGTGCCAGGTATCTAACAACAATTAAATGTATGCAGATAACAGAATCATCAGGTGATCCCTATGCTCCAGTACTCAGACAGAAGCGAAGTTTAGCAAGTGTGGAGAACAGAGCTCTGAAGAGGAAGTGTTGGTAAGTACTTTCAGCAGTTGTGGTCTTCCTCTTCTACTGGTTTCTCCTCTGACATAGCGTTTATTGTTGTGCCTAATATCAGCAGCATTCTCATTGAAGGTCCAGTAGACTTTGTTTTACCCTAGGTCATAGTTACTTTGGGGAGAGACCTCCTCCTTTTGAAAGTTTTTTTAAGATTGTGTATCTGTGTGTACATGCACTCAAGTGCCTGTGCATGTTCCAGGGTGCACGAGGAGGCCAGGAAAGGACATGGGATCCCTTGGAGCTGGGAATACAGGCCAGGCAGACATTTGTAGTATGGTCTGCATTGTTGCTTGGGTGCTGGATCCAAATTCCAGTTCTCATGATTCTGCAGCAAGCACTCTTACCCTGAGACATTTTCCCAATCCCCTTAAAGACGTTTTTAATATCAACATGTTTTTTCCCCTCAAACAGATACCTTGTAGGCAAGAAGAGGCTTGAAGAAGGACTTAACTTGCGACAGATCTACAAGCCATGGCTGTGGCTTGCCATATACCTAAACTCCTGAGGAGGAAAACTTTCTTCTAAGTGAAGAGAACATTCATCAATACATGTATTTACATGACTATATTTTGACTGTGCATGCTTTATTTAACTTATTAAAAGACTATTCAAGGAAAAAATTTCTGTGAATTCTGTACTTTTGAGAAAAATTACTTTAAATCACAGCCAATATTTAATTTAAAATTATGCTTGCTTTTATTTACATTAGAACAGTTTCTTTTAGATCCCCTCATTTCCCCAGGGAGGGTGAGGCCCTCCATGGGGGTGTCCATAGTCTGTCATTTCATTCAGCGCAGGGCCTAGACCCTCCCCCAAGGGTTCAGGATGAGAGTGCATCTCTCATTGTTGGATGGGAGTCCAAAGTCCATTTGTATACCTGGGATAAATACTGATCTATTGCCCAAGGCTCAATAGATTACCTAGGCCTCTTCACTGACACCCACATTCAGGGACTCCAAGATAATTTAAATAGCATTTAAACAGCATTTGGTCGTTGAGGAAGGCATAAGTTATAGTATGCATCCTTGTTCCAAAAGTCTGGGCTCTTCCATCCACACCAGCCCTAGATTTGGAAGGAAGGAAAGAAAACCTTTTATAACCCAAGATTCCACAATGGAAACTACCCCTGTCAGCAGGACCCCGACATAAGACTTAGACACCAATCGAATTCAAGGATTTTCAAAGTGAAGAACAGTAACTTTTTTGTCAACTTGATACAAGCTACCATCATCTGGGAAGATGAACCTCAATTGGAAAAATGCCTCTATCAGATTTGCCTGTGGGGAATTGTCTTTATTGATAATTGATGTGGGAGGGCCCAGTACACGAGGGCAGTGCCTCCCTGGGCAGGTGGTCTTGGATCATACGAGAAAAACAGAAAAGAAAATTAAGCCGAGCAAGCCGGTGAGTGGCTTTCCTCCACAACCGGCCTGCAGCTCTTACCCTGACTTCTGGACTGTGAGATGAAATAAACCCTTTCCTCTCCAAGTTGCTTTTGATTATGGCGGTTATCACAGCAACAGAAAATAAACTAAGACATCCTTTCCATACAGATTTTAAACAGAACAAATCTTTAACACTTAACTCTAGAAGTCATCAAAAAACAAAATAAAAATTACTTCTAGCGATTGTTAGTTCAGACACTACTTCATTGGTTCTAATATATAGGGCATCAGTAGCTGTAATAGCTTTATTGGCAAACTTTTATTTAGTAGTCTGCACATATGTGCTATTCAGTGACACTTTAGATATGAAATATGGGACCCAAGCCAGCCCCATGAGTTCTATGTTTTTTATCCTCATGGGCTGTTTGCTTTCCAGTCTTTATTTCAGTTTAATCCTTTCCTCCTGCAAAGAATAATTTTTCGTGGTTTAATTATAAATTTGAAAGTTGTATCAAGTTTCTTCTAGGACCACTCATTTTCTCTTTTTGAGACAAGAGTCTTAAACTTAGCCCATGCAGTTCAGCCTGGGCCTTGAATTAGTTGTACACCTCCCACCCATGCTGGGATTACAGGTGTGTGCCACCACGCCCAGATTGATTTTACTGAAGGAAGCTGATGACTGGCCTGTGCTACATCGAGGTCAAATGCAATGCGGAATACTTAGGCTGAGAGCTGAGTTACTCTGACTCAGAGGTTGCTGGTGTCTGGAGAAGACCTGAACTCTACATAGGACAGAGTGCATTAGCTCTTTTACAGAATGGAGGAGGGAGAGGTCACTGAATATGTTCCTTTTTCTTCCCCTCTCTCTTTTTGTTAATTGTGAAAATTTAAACAAGATCAGAGTAGACAAATAACATTGTACACTATCTGCTTTGGCGTTTTACTCTTACACAGTCAGACCTTTTAGAAACCAGATTTTTTTTTAAGAGATCGAGAAATAGGCATAGTGTGTGCCAAAAAGACATGTATCTGTATTTCCTGATGACCAGCCTGGGAGGTCAAACAGGAAAGCTAGGAGGTGTTATGGCTAATCTTGGTTGTCAACCTGACATACCTGGGAAGAGAAAATGTGAACTGAGGAATGCCTCCATTACGTGGCCTGTGGGCATGAGTGGGGTCATTTCTATTGCTAATTGGAAGAGGAGGGCCTCGCCTACTGTGGATAGCACCCCCCTTTAAGTGAGTGGTCCTGAGTTGTGTAAGATAGCAAGGTGAGCCAGCCAGTAAACAAGAGGACTCACCTGATCCATGGGAACCAAGGACAGTGGAGCCCACCTGAGGCTGTGCCTTGGCTTCAGTTTGCTGTATGCATCAGAGGGCTAAAGGGCTTTCTGCTGTTAAATCATTCTACAAAAATGTAACTGGCAACATTCTCAGGGAAAGTAATCAGGGATGATGGCTCCCTTTATCTAATTGCTTCAGGATAATTCCGTCAGGGCAAAGCCCATTAGTCAGTCAGAAAGAAGCACATTTTTTAACTGTATCGCTCCCATGATGAAACAGTCAAGGTCTCCACTTGCTTTTAAGATAAAAATCTAAATCCTAGCTCAGCTTTTCTGCCTGTCTCCCTTGCCCCCACCTCACCGGGATATGTAGTTCATGCAGTTTGGGGAACAGGCTATCTTTCTCTTCCCTTCATCTAAGGAGTTCTTCCACAGCTTTCTAAGCCTAAACCTGCATACTTCTTGTCTGAGAATCCTTTTGGAGGGTCCCCTGTCCCTCTCTAGTAGACTGAGAGCCCCTCAGAGATGTTTAGCACTATGGCTGACATTGATTGGGTACTCATAAATGCCAGATGAATCGATACTTTGCTACTGAAAGGGAAAATGTTGCTATTATTTTAAAATTTAAAAATCACTTTTATTTATTTTGTGTTTGTGGAGGTCAGAGGACAACTTGCAGGAGTTAGTTTTTGTCTACCAAGTGGGATCTGGGGATCAAACGCAGGTCCTCAGGTTTGGTAGAAAGTGTTTTTATCTGCTGAATCATCTCACCAGCCTTTCATGTGAGAATTAGCTGCCTATAAATCAATTCAGGTTTATGCCCCATGTAGTCAATATTATGCCAACAAATACTTCTAAATTTGTTTCAGCTTCTAGTCTTTATAGAATGATTATGTTATGTGTACATAAATGAGAAGTAGTCACATCTTCGTAATGACTGGCATTTTGTTTATCTATTGGTTCACTGATTGTATATCTGTCCTTGAGGTGTTGATGCCCTGGAGCTGGAGTTACATGTGGTTGTGAGCCACATTTAGTCTGTGCTGGGCACTGAACTTGGGTCCTTTGTAAGACGGGCAAGAGCTCTTAACCGCTCAGTCTCCTCTTCAGAGTTGATTTAAGTTTATTCTGCTATCCTGTTTTAAGACAGTGATGAGAACACAACTGTATATGCTACAAACTCTGCAAAGGAAATATGTCACGTTCTATTATGATGTTTAGTAAATAGCAAAGCTTTTAAAAATGTTGTCTTTTGTGATTCCTGTTGTCTTTCCTATATAAAATATAATTACGCAACAGACTTAGAAACACTGCTGTGAGGACAACTGCCCTTGGCTTATTATCTTTGTTAATGGCCAGGCAGCAGTCTTTCATTTCTGGCTCTTTTTACCTTGTGTCTTATACTTATGTGATATGGATATTTACCTTTTCCAAGATTACTTGCAGATCTTCAGCACCTGTATAATGTGGGTCTAGAATTAGAAATTTTATCTGCCCCGTAGTTTCATTCCATGCAACTCCTAGTATTGTGTGAGCCAATACTCCTCCCCCTAGGAAAAAAGAAATACATAATGGCATAAATTAATTTCAACTGCTTATTCAGTTCAAATAAAAAACTATTGTTTTGCCTATTAATTGACTTAAGACAGTATCAGAACAGTCTGCCCAATATTGTAAAAGACCATGATGGCAAATATACTTGAAAGGATAAGATTACATGATTAATAACTGCTGTGTTACATATGGAACTATATAAGAAACACTGTGATCATATTTATAATCATATAAAGTTTATATTCTATCGCTATATCCATAAAACCCTAAAATCAACTGAGGAAGGGCCACCAAGGGGCCAAACTCCACCCAGTGCAGCACTGATCACAGAGGTCCCTCTCCTGCTCTTGCATCTGCGGAGCATCTCTAGGCCATCACCCATTCGGTCCTCTGGATATGCTGCTGACATCTACCTACCTCCTTTTCTTACACACTAGTGTCTTCCACCTTCTGTTAGTTTTTCAGAGAATCATATATCTTTAGCTCAATTAATCAAATCTTCTTTTACAAAGAAAACTCACCAAAGGTAAGCAGTCTGTTGTGCCACAAAACCAACCAAGTTAGTGACAGAGTCATGACTTATGGTGCTTTGCCAAGTGGCTATCACTTTTAAAAATACTGCTCTTGGCTCTTTTAAATGTTCAAACAGTTATCATTTTCTTTTTAGCATTTATTCTTAGTTACCAAATCTTTTTTGCAACTCCTCTACCCTTTGGAAATTAAAATTCAGAATGGTGTGTATAAATTTACTCTAAAAAGTTTAAATTTTTATTTTATGTGTATGGGTGTTTTGCCTGCATCTATGTCTGTGGACCACATGATGCCTTGAAGAGAGGCACTGGACTCTCTGAAACTGGAACTATGATGATTGTGAGCCACTATAGAGGAATTGAACCCAGGTCTTCTGGAAAATCCCCCAGTGCTTTTCACCACTAAGCCATCTCTTCAGACCCAGTTTTTAAGATGTTTAAAATGACTAGCTTTTATGTAACATTAAAACATTATACGCCTAATTTTTACTTATTCTCTACTCTGCCAAGAGAACTCGACATGTCCAAAACACCTTACCAATCATTACTGGAGTGCCCACATTCTGGAAATGGTTGGCCAGTTCCCGTCCTTGAGAGGCCATTTCTGAACCTTGACTAAATAAAAAGAAATCATCTCTTATTAGAAAACTATTTGCAGTATTCAATCAAGTAATGAGTTGGGGAGGACAATACTTTTAATCTTTTTGTTTGTTGATCTTGAAAAAAGATTAAGTGGTAGGGACCTGATTCAGATACAACTTAAAGCAATGTAAACGTTAACTTTTTCAGGACACTAACTAGGGAAGAAACGGAAAGATTCCAGCTTTCTGCTTCTTTGGATTTTTAACATGAGACTGAAACTGGTCACCTTGTTATTTTTCACAGTCTATATATTCTTTTTATCTTAAAATTAGGGTCAGTAACACCTATCCCATGTAGAAGATAGGAGGAGAGTGCACCATATCGTGGAATAATTGGACATACTAAGTCCATTTCACTTTTGAGAAGAGACAGACAGAGGGAGCAGTACTTATACTCCTCAGCATTCCAAGTTGACAATGCCGTAAGAGTTTATTTAGTATCTCTAACTATCACACATCAGAGCTTAGCCACACACCTTGCTTGTTGCCCTTCATGAAAGGTTAGCTGAGAGCTAACTTCTTGCTACTGCTCACCATCATCAGAGTCTTACACTGCATATTTGAAAGATCAAATGATAAGCCCAAAAGAAATTTCCCATCATTATAAAGTTAAAAAAAATGTAAGCAGAATCATCAATAGAACCATTCCTTTTGTGGATGTAATAGGTGGGGTGAAACCTGGTAAACTCTTGGCTGAACACATATGAGCTCCTTTGAGTTAAACTCATGTAGTCAGGTGTGGTGGCAACTGTCTTTCACCTCATTAGCCCCAAACTTTACTTTTTAAAAACAGTTCTTTAATACTTTATCTGACATCATTTCTCACTGTTTTTCACAATTCCAACAGTAAGATCAAACATACTTTTCAGTACTCAGACAATAGACACGGTTACTGTAGTTATCAATACAAGACAGTTTAAAATGTAAGTTCATGGGGAAAGTCTTTAAATATTTAACTTACTATTTAACAAAGTAGAAGAAAAGTCATTCCCAGTTTTTTTACGTTATGCCTAGGAGTTGGGTGGGATGGGATCCCAGTACTGGTTTGCCTAAAATAGCTGATCATTATACTAGGCATAGCTAGAATCATCTTCTGGGGTGATAGACATGTCCCCCCAAACTGCTTAGCCCAGTTCATTGGGCGATGTTCTCACTCTGACAACCATTATGTCCCTACTCAAGGCTGCATAAATGTGGTTCATCAGGCTTCTGTCTGTCTCAGCCTCTAGGGCATATCTGTTATAACCTGGGGAATATCAAACTCAGGACTATTCCCTGCCTGAGCCAGGGAGCTCTTGTCTCTTGGGAGATTTTAGTGCTGACTGCAGTAATGTTATATCTTATTTATTTATTAAAGTGAATATTTTACTATATGTGAGAAATCAGAGTATAACATTTGTGGTGATGAAATTAAAAGCTTCTTAGACCTTTAATAAAAAATTAAGTTATGGTCAGAGAAACTGATATATGCTAATTTATATATTCTCTTATTAGAATTGTATAAAATGTAAACTGAATATAATATTTGTATATTTGTTGGTTTATTAACATGTTAGCAAGAAAAAGAACAGAGAAAAAACATAATAGTCAGTGATCAACATTTGGTTTTCTCCTTATAAACTTTTTGAAGATTTAAACATTGGAAAACTACATTTTGTATCTAGAACTTTACCCAAAGATGTCTAAGTTTTCCATATTTAGACTAAAATTAGGTCTAGAGAATACATGTATATGTCACAACTTGTTTAAAAAATGAGATAATAAAGCAATAAGATAACGAGGAAGAGCAATGAGTAGAAAGGAAATGTCATCTTCTATTATTTTAATAAAAATGGTGAACTGTCCCTTTAAAAATGATGTATCCAGTTTATAAAGTATCCTTACCTAACAAACAGTATTCTTGAAGTTACACCAACCAGTTGGTTTAGTACCAGCTGTACTTCAATAGATCCAATCCATTGCCGTGATCCCACAAATGCTGCTGGTTTGTCACCAGCATCAACAAGAGCCTTTATGTATTAAAAACACACACACACACACAAATAAAAATCCATATGCAATACAGCTATTAATATTTATGTTTAGGGTATTGTGATTCATTACCAGTAAGATAATCCATTTTCTTCAAAATAAAAATAAATCTGTGCCAAGGGGTAATAATAATCAACGACATATTAAAAGCTAGTGGAACACAAATTGGTTTAAGTTAAAATGGCAAGCTTTGTACCTGCTGAATCTCTCTGTGTGTCGGAACGGACCTCTCTGTGTAACCCTGATGTCTGAACCATGAGCAGATTGTCTGCAGGGACCGATAAGCACAGCCCCAGCCATTGTCATCTATCCGATCCTGCATATAGTGATGATAAGCGTAGATGCCCTGGACCACACACATCTGTAAAAAAGAAATGCAGTGAAATACTAAAGACAGAGGGCACATTCTGTAGAAACACCAGAGTCACAATTACTGTAGACAGTGAAGAATTTTACTTCAGACAGTGGTTCTCAACCTCTGGGTCACGATCTTTTTCACAGAGGTCACCTAGGACCATCAGAAAACACAGGTATTTGTATTACAATTCCTAACAACAGCAAAATTATGGTTCGAAAGTACAACTGAAAATAATTTTATGGTCGGGGGCACTACAACATGAGGAACTGTATTAAGGGGTGGCAGCACCAGGAAGGTTGAGAGCCACTGCTTTAGGCCCTTATGAAAATGCCTTCAGGGAACAATGACTTAGTATCATATCCTTTTGGTTTTTTCTTACAGTCCAGAGTCCTTCCCAATGGTCCTACTTAGAAACCTGCTAGAAAGATTTGTGTTCTGGCTCAACAATTCTAGCTCCTTATACTTTCCCCTTTCTTAATTTAATTTGGTTTTGAATATGCCAATGATTATCCGATCTGAAGCTTCTTATTTTCTTGGCTGGAAATGTCTTTTTCCCAATTAATTTTGCAGCATGAACCCTTTTCCACTTAGGTCTCTGTTCAAATGCCACGGCCAGGCTACATAAAAATGGCATGCTCACTTTCTCTCCACCTGCCCTTTGCCATGGCTATCCCCTCTCTCCTGACTTCACGTGTGTGTGCATGCGCACATATTTCAAATCTGATTATACTGCTAATGTCTGTCTGCCCACAACGGCACATGGGCTTGTAAGCTGTGCTGTACCTTATTCATCTCTAGGCGCTAATTCCCCCAAAGGCAGGACAGACAGCTGAAAAACATGCTGCTGCTGAGTACATGATGACGGAGGAAGGAGGAATAAAGGACTACAGAACACACATAAGTAGGTTCCGTACACTGAGGCACAGGAGCCATGCTTCTGCAGGTTTGTAACCCTGCCATCGGCTACAGCTCAAGTGTGTGTGCTCCTAGTGACTACCAGAGGCACTGGGGACACAAGGCTCTCCCTTGCAGCACAATGCTAAAAATTAACATTTTTGACAAAGCATATTATTTTTTAAAACTTGGCATTTCGGGGAAGACAGGGTACTCCCAAGATGATTAGGCAAATTGACAAAGCATGAACTGAATATGTATAATCAGACCATTTGCTAGGGAAAAAAATAGCTGCTCCCAAAGATATCTCTGTCCTAGCCTCCAAAACAACTCCACCCCACTTTACATACATGGAGAGGTGAGGGTTACTCTGGTCTATGCAGATAGGCACTAAATGCATGCATACACATTTTTCTCACAGGGGAACAAGAGGAATCAACTCTGACCACAGCCAAGAAACGCTAGCACCATCTGAAGCGGAGGAAACAAAGAATGGACACTCCTCAGGCGCCTGCGGAAGAGGATGGCCCTGGGGATACTTTTAGGTCAACCACCTGATGCTGATTTTGGACTTCCAGCTTCCAGAGCTGTGACAGACACATTTCTTCCGTCTGCGCCTACCCAGTATGTATCGTCTGTCACAGTCTGTCTTCAAGCAAATGAGTCCTCTGCTTTAGAACCTCTTCCTAACAGCAGGCAAAAGTCATAAATGTGTGGCGGACATTAAATAATTTTCTAAAAGAAAGATTGAAGTACCATCATATGGAAATATAAAATACTTAAAAGTAAATAAATCAAAAATCAGATTAAAATTACAGAATATAACAAAAGTAGTAGCATTTTATCTGCAACTTAAGACTCCACATTAGAGAACAGGAAAGACTAACAATATGCTAAGTTCCAATTTAAGAAAGTAGAAGAGATACATGAAATCAAAGAAACAAAGTAAAAACCCCATATTAGTGAGACAGAAAACAAAAGTTATAAAGAGGGGTCATCAAAGGCAAATATTTAAAGAAAGGAAAAAATAAAGTAATATGAAGAATTAAAAAGAAAATATAACTATATGAATTAAAACCTAGGTAAATGTGACTCACAAAAGGAAAAACATCCCATAATCACTAACAAAACTGAATGTTATTAGGAATATTCGTAAGGCTGGAGAGGTGGCTCAGCAGTTAAGAGTGCATACTGCTCTTGGGGAGGGAGGATTTGAGGTCAGTTCCCAGCACCCACACCAGGCAGCGCACAACCTCCTGTTAATCAACTCAAGAGGGATATAGTATCTCTGCCTTCCACGGCCATCTTCACACAGGTGCCCACACACAATTAAAATAAAATCTCTTAGAAAAGAGACAGGGTTTTTCTGTGTAACAGCCCTGGCTCACAGAGATCTGCCTGCCTCTGTCTCCTGAGTGCTAATTTTATAGATGTGTGCTATCACTGTCCCACAATGAAAAAAATCTTAACAAAATATCATCAAAGGGAATAAGACATGATAATGAGCACAGTAAACTGGATTTATATAATGAACATATCCATTATTACTGGGAGATCAGATGAAGTGTTTAGGGGTAAATAACATAATGTTTATAACTTTCCGTGAAATGGTTCAGGGGAATAAAGAGATAAAAATGAAACAAAAATAGCATATATATGCACAGGAGTTCTAAAAATAGTTTGAGAGATAAATATTCAAGTTAGGAGCTTATAGAGGGTCACTCAGAGTTCCATTGTACCATTATATTCTCTATTTCTTACTCTATGATTCAGTAACAGAGCAAGATCGTAGTAACAATGGGTTTCTCTGGATTTCTTCCTATCTTCTCAAAGTAAGTGAAATCATTTATCATCTCTAAAATGCTGACTCTTGACTCATGGAGTATATGTAATGGTGGGTGTCCAGCTAATGCTATTTCTAGAGGAAGCTGGTTGTTCATGCAGATGGGGATATTATGGCTAAGACCAAAACAGGACTCCTCAGTCCTCTCTCCCCGTTCCCACAGCCTTTATCATTTGATTCTTAGATTTCCCTGAGAAACTCAGAAGGTACTGAATGAAGGCCACCACAGACAGCCAGTCATTTCCTTTCTTTGAGACCTACATTGAGATGTGCATGGTAAGCCCAGCAGTAAGAGCAGAGGGTACAGTTGAGAAGAACACACGCTGAACAGCTTAGAGGCCCAGGAAAACGTTCTACACAACTGAACAATGCAGATACAGACTGCAGAAGGCTGCCAAAGAGAGGGCGGGCAATCAGGAGCCAAGCACACACGGGGGAAGCCGTGGAATGCCAGCAAAGAGTCAGCTAGGCCGTCAGAGAGCCGGAGTCAGCTCCAGTCCCTGCACCACTGTTTCTAAGAAACCTGGATGTTCCTGTGCTCCCACTCTTGGATGACAATGAGACTTTCATGTATCCTTAATTTAACCCCTATCCTCGAGCTCTGACAATCCAGTTAGCTAAGCTACTTACATCGAGAGTCTGCAACCAGATACATGCTATACAGTATAGCGTGCAGCATCTTAGCCTTGTCCTTACTGTGGCTTGGGGAAACTTTCCCCATAATTAGCATGATTAGTCAAGTGCAGAGTGAGAAAAAAGGAACAAACCTTTAGAGAAATCAGAGAATGTTGTTTAGGAGGAGAAATGTGGTAAATACTCTCTATTTATAACCCTTTAAGATCATTTCATCTAAAGATCTTTTTTGATGCAGTCTCGACTTGCTGAGATTAAAGGCATGTGTACTGCCCCTCTAAGCTAATTACTGCTATTTTTTAAAAAGAAGACTCTGTGTGTGTGCATGCTAGAAGACAGCCTAAGGTCTCCTAGGGCTGCACTGACAGCAGCTGTGAGTCGTTTGATGTGGGTGCTTGTAACTGAACTCGTGAACGACCTAAGGAGAACAGCAAACACTCTTAAATACTAAGCCACTGCTCCACCCACTAACTCCAGCTATCTTAAAGGAGGTTTTTTTTGTTTGTTTGTTTGTTTGGTTTTTTTGAGACAGGGTTTGTCTGTGTAGCCTGGAACTCACTCCGCAGACCAGGCTGGACACCTGTCTTTGCCTCTGGAGTGTTGGGATTAAAGGTTTGTAGCACCACATCTGGCTCCTTAAACGAGGTTTTAAACAAAGGCTTAAAAGAGACAAGTGTTAAGTTCTTTTTTTAGGAATGACGAACAGTAGGAATCAATTGTTAAAAGCTTCTCTTGGGAACCAATCCAAAACAATGAATGCCAACAATAGGCCAACTCTTGTGAGAACTAGTTAGACTCACCACACTACCCTCTATGTTTGGCGGACTCAGATAAGCATGTGGGTTCCTAATGCAGCCGTCTTTATATGGTTCATCTGGAAAGTGGTACGCGTTAGCCCTTTTGAAATAAGGTCTGTCATGTGGCAGACTGAAGAGGTCATGTAACTCCTAAATCAAACCAGAATCAATAAACAAAGAGAAGAATTTTAGATGCTTAGTAAAACACTCAAAATCAGTAATTATTAAGCAAAACATGTTAGCAGTAAGTTTTCAAAAACATGACTTAATTCATTAAGGTCAATTGGTGAAAACCTGAAACCAACTTACATTCCTCTAGCAGAGACTAGAAGGGAAGACAGAAACATAAAAATAACTTGCTAGAATTGGGATATTTCGTAAATCAGAAATTAGAATTCACAATGATATGTTAAAGTACTTTGGAAAACCATGTTTATAATACTTTAGACATTTAAGTGCAATTATAAGATGGCATGAATATACCAGCACTTATAATGCACTATTTTCTCAACCTCATAAAAACATACAATAGTTATTCAAGAAGTCTGGCCAATTGCCCATGTACTCTATTGGTTTCAATAGGTCAGCTTGCATAGTGTCTGAAAATCAACTTTGGAGCAGTATGGAGGGCTAGCGTTACACTACAAATTACAAACATAATTTGATGAGTGCCAGACAATGCCACAGGTCCAAAAGACATATTCTAAGAACCAGTCCTTTTGTTGATAAATCTCATTTCTTTAAATGCTGGACAGGTTTTCGACAAAACTTCTCTAATGAAACTTAAACAACCTTTGTGGTTGCAGTAATACCATGTATCACAGTCAGAATTAGCATGGATTCCATCATTCCTTCTGCACTGCACTGCTGTCTCTCTCACAGATCTGGAGGTAACGGCTGAGGAAGGGATTTCATAACATACATCAGCTACTCTAGGCATTAAGCATCTTTCCATTTCTATTTTTCACTATGGAAAATGATAAAATCTCATGATTATGTGATCCACACTGAAAACCGAAATCAAAATGTTACATGCCATACTAAGCTAGCATGTTTTCATTACTAAACATATTACAAAGAAATTTCATGAAATTTTTATACAGCAGCCCATTTCTATACTTTTAAATTTAACCATAAAATAATTTATATTTACTACAAATTATACTTAAGCAAAACTCAAACAAAGGGACTTCTTCTCATAACTGGTCCACTTTTACCTTTCTATAGGCCTGCAGCTGAGCATCTGGAATTCCTGATGGATATAAAACTGTCACAAGATTTTTTTTCCCTGGCAGTAGGAAGTGCAGTGGTTCAGGGACTACAATAGATGTTCCTTTCATATATCTCAAAATGCATTTTTCCACATCAACTAGTTGGTTGTGAACTGCATCCACTAGAAGTTTTCGAACTCTGTAGAAGAAAATATTTAAGTGAATTAACAAAAGATATGGCGGCTACAATGAAGATGTATAGCTAATATGAAAGTAAAAAAACTTTCACTGGACAAGGCTTGTCAAACAAAGTCTAAATTATGTAAAGTCCAAGTAACTATATTTTCTCTGGCTGGATAACGGGAAGCCTTCTAGGTTTCAGTGCACTATCCTACCTCTTCCAAATAAATATTTAATCATTCAATAACTCTTAGGCTGAAAATAAGGAGTATATCACAGTAAAACCAGCCCACCACCCTGGATATGGCTTGTGTCATATTTTTAAAAGAACTCAGTTCTGCTTACTTTACAGCAGGGTCCTCATTTAAATGTGGCAGTAGTACTAAAAATATACCTACTTTCCCCAGGCTTCTTCTGGAGCAACAGCTACAACTGCATCGATTGGCAAGTTCATATTAATGTAGTGGTGTTCTTCATTTTCCCTTTCAATGATGGGGGCTGTGGCTCCCAGAGAGGTTGATATTTCCAGCATGAGATCTATGTTTACTATCTGTTGCTGTACAGACAGACAGTTAAGAGTCAACTTGTGAAACATTAAACACTGAATATGAAGGGTAAATAGAGGTTTAAGTGATGATATATAAAGCTACATTATAGAGAGTAAGTTCAGGAAATGCCTCTCTGCTCCAGAACAGTCTGTATGAATGCAGGGTGTGTGGCAAATAAAGATGGAACCAGACTGTCCACAGGGTTGGGGCCATGTGTAGGGCACCCCTGGGTTAATATGCTATTCTTTCCACGGTTGCACAGACCTAAAGTAAAAACAGAAAACAGAAAATCTCCAAATAACATTGCTCAGCAGGTGGATTTCTGTTGTGTTTGGTCTACTTATCAAGTTTATGAATGAGTTTTTTTTTTTACTTTTAAGCAAAACTGAGATCAGTTTTGTCTTTTCGGGATAAAAATAAAATAAAACCTTCAAAATTACACATTACAAGAAGAAAACATGTTTAGATATGTAAAACGGACACATAACATTTCTAGGCCTCTGTATTCTAGGAGGGCAAGATTAAATTATGACCTATACTAACTTAGCTCCAAATCCAAGGATTTAATTTTGCTTTTATCTGTAGAAAAGACAGATCTGCTTACCATGTCTGATGACTTTTTGTCTTTCTTTTTTGTGAATTTTCGCTTTGTATCCTCTTCCTGCTCAAATCTAAAATTTAAATGTACAAAGACATTTACAAGTGCGAAACGATGCTTTGAAAATATTTCCAGAAACTGTCTAAACACTCACTGGACGAGGTGCACTATGTTCTTACAGGGGGAGCTGTCAGTCAGCTCGCCTGCGTTTGTGACACCGTTGGGCCACAGATACACAGAGCTGTTGGAGACTCTGAACACGAGAGCGTCTGAAGCCAGCTTGGTAGTCAGGTCGTTCAACACCTGTCTTAGTGCGTTCTTGACAAACATTTCTAAACGAAAGGCAAACAAATCAGAAGATTCTCAAACTTTGGACAGGGATGTTTTTAAACACCAGGCAAAAACAGAAGACAGCAGACATGACTCTCAAGTGCCCTCCCTACTTTTCAATCACTAGCACAATTCTGGCCTCTCCATCTTTAGAATTCTGAGACCATAAATTTCATCTAATGGCTTTTAGTGTGTCTGTAACAATTTACAACCAATACTGGCTTTTAAAAATGATTGTTATAAACATTTTCATACCCTCAAGGGTATGAGTGCAGCCACTCTTCGTGCTCCATTCATTTTTCATCCCTTACCTTCTGAACGCCTGTGGGCTCTAACATCCCGACAGCATTTGTAGGGATGATTTCATTTATCATCAGGTCGTTACCCAGTGTCCTTCCAATCTCACATTCTCTACCCTCTTTTCTGACCACTCTCCCCTGACTTTCAGATTCCACTAAGTGCTCCCTGGAAACCTGAACACAATGTCCCAGCGGCATCTAAAAAGTACGGCATCTTGGCTGTAATTTCCCACATCTCTCCCTGGGTACTCGGTATCTCAAGTTTTCGGCATCAGCGCCAGCTAGCAGACATCCTGGGATTTCCCTTATAAAAATCCCCATGAGTTTCTTCTCCTACAAATTTCTTCTAACATTCCAATACACTACAGCATTTAAAAGAGTTGGGTACCAGGACATGGGGTAACACACCATACAATTACAGCTCTGCAATGTGCAGCTCCCGCAGTCTATTTACCTCTCTCTCTCTCTCTCTCTCCCTCCCTCTCTCTCTCTCTCTCTCTCTCTCTCTCTCTCTCTCTCTCTCTCTCTCTCTCTCTCTCTCTCCCTCCCTCCCTCCCTCCCTCCCTTCCCCCCTCTCTCTCTGTGCCTGTGTAAAAGACAATTTTCTTCCAAGACAGCCCTAAAGGTTCACAAGAAAGGTTAAATCTTTTAATTTACAGAGGTGCCCTGTGGGCTAATAAGGAAGTTAAAATATAGTATTTAAATTTGAGTTTAGTTTATTCTCTTATCTCATCCTCAAAATCCATAACTATAAATCCGATAATAAAAGAAGTTTGGGGAAGACGTACCTTTAGGAGAGGCTAGCTGAAAAGCCAGATCAAAGCCTCCTCTTATTCTGAAGAGTATATCCATAGCTTTGAGGGTCACCTAAAACAAATGTAACAATTCCCTTGTGAAGCAGGACAAACTCATCTTCACATGAATTAGAATCCACTTCAGTTTAGGATATGGCATTAATTCTGCACTGTTTTCACGAGTTAATTCCTTATGCAAATCCTAAAAAAGGGTTTTTCAAACCACAGTTTCATACTGAAATCACCCAGGGAGCTTAAACCTCTGACACCCAGGAGCCATGGCCAGAGTCTCTAGTTCACTGGCATAAGGCTGTCCCAGGCACAAGGATAGTAAAAGCCTTCTGGATTCCTTTCATAGTGGTTACAATGTGAAAAAGTGGCTCAGAAGCAATGTGCTCATGCTGTTAAAATCAGTCTTGATGCATTTAGCAATGGTATGAAAACATCAACGGTAAAAAAAAAAATCTAGTTTAAGAGTGTGACAAGAGCAGGGTGGTGGGAACACTGGGAGGTAGAGGCAGGCAGACCTCTGTGAGTTCAAGACCAGACTAGTCTACAGAGTGAGTTTCCAGGAAAACAACCAGAAGGGTTCACAGAGAAACCTTGCCTTGAAACACACACACACACACACACACACAAGATATGACGAACACTGAGAGATTGTGGCTAAACCAGTGAGAGAAGAAGATGGCGAGAGAAGACACTGGTAGACCTCACTATCTTAAAAAGGCCCAACCATGATTTTACATTTAGAAAGTACACCGAGACTAGGGTGTAACGATGTTAATCTAACTGCCAGCAACAGGAATAGCACATAGAGAAAGCATGTTAGACAGAACTTACATGGCCCGGGTCAATGTTGCCACTGACAGAGAGGGAAAAACAGCATCTGCAGAATGGGAGAGACTAGCAGGTCTTTTACTTAGATCCATATGCTGAGTTTCAGGTAGTGAATGATACACGACAAAAGAGAACGGTATACAACAAAACACCTGTGTCATAATGTGCATTTGTGCGTCCGTGTGTGTGTGTGTGTGTGTGTGTGTGTGTGTGTGTGTGTGTGTGTGTGTGTGTGAGTTTTAAAGACAGGGTTTATCTGTTAAGCTTTGGCTGTCCTGGAACTCACTATATAGACCAGGCTGGACTGGAACTCAGAGATTCACCTGCCTCTGCCTCCCAAGTGCTGGGATTAAATGAGTATGCTACTACCGACTAGCCCAGTAATAAGATGTTTGATAAAGAACAATACTACTATTTCAATAAAAAACTTAAATAAACTGAAGATATAAAAGAGTAAATTTTAACTCAGGTATGATTTTGATTAACTTAATCACCCATGTCTAGTCTCTTCTGTAAATCTGGGGGAAAAAAAAGATACAACTTCCAAGGGTTGTAATGTGAGGATTCCTTAAGAAACCTTAAGAGCCCTATGGTCCCTTTAGGCTTCTGCATCAAGATTCTCTCTGGGAATATAACATTTAAGCCGAAATCTGAAGGGCAAGTAGCTACTGAAAGCTTAAAATAACGTCTAGTAAGACTGGTGTGGAGGTATATGGCTATAATCCCAACACCCAGAAGGAAGATCGGGATTGCAAAGTCATTCCCGGCTGTATACCTAGTTCAAGGGCAGCCTGGGTTTTGTGAGACCATGTCTTAAAGCCAAACCAAAGAAAAAGACCACTTAGAATATGACCCAATTGGAGTTTGGCAGGGTCAAAGGTCAAGGATAGTAAGGGTAAAGAGGGTGATGTTATAGACACTCAGAAGCAGAATCCAAAAGGCTTGATTGTTGACGTGAGGTGAGGCACATGTGTCAAGTGCTTGGTGGGCACAAGAGGGGCGAGCTGGGTTATCCGAAGAGATGTTTTCTGAGCGAGCGGGAGACGATGACTCGGCTCGACAACTGCTGGCTTTGAGTGATCTATTTAAAAGGAAGCAGTTACGTGGATTCATGAATTGGGTTCGGAAGAAAGGAGAGAAAGCTCTGGGTGCAAAGTATAACTGAAGAAGATAAGCATCTACGGTACAGTTGGCGGAACCTGGCTGAGCTACGAAACAGGACCGAAAGCTGGGAGTGCGACGTCACGTAAAAGGGGAGCAGGGTACATGACGGAAGTTGAGCCTGTCTTTCCCAAATCAAAAGTTCTTTCGCGATGACTGGCCCCAGGGTCAGTGTCCCGGTGCTGCTGAGGCGCGGACGTGTAGCAGCTGGGAGACCCAAGTGAAGACGTTTCGCACTGCCACCGTTGGCCCCGCTCCTCCCAGGGGATTGGAGTCTTTCTCTTAAAGGTTGTCGAAGTCCTAGGAGGGAACACGCGACGGTCAGAATCACTTACCAGGCTCCCCACCTGGAGATGACAGGAAAGACGACTTCGCGCACGCCAAGGTCGGCCCGGAAGTGGCGTCAAGGCCAGCCGAAGGCCCGGCTCCGGCAGACGGACTACAACTCCCAGCATGCCTCACACCAACCATCACGGAGCATACCACACTACGACTGTTCGCCCCTGGCTAGAGGGCCGGGAAACAGAAGGCTTCGTTTTCGAGAGATTTCGTCGGCTGAGGCGTTTGTGTCCCACGGGCGTCCACCGATCTTCTCAGAGGTTCCGTGCGGACTCGAATCTTGCGGTGGCCACCCGTAGCGTGTTGAGAATGGTTTCTCCCGTTCCCACGGCAACGCAGCCCAACAAGCGCCAGATGCGGCTGGCAGAACCGGGAGGCGCGCGCCGCTCTGCAGCTGTGCTGTAGGTGCGAGCGCGAGCGCAGGCGCCGGGCGCGCGTTCCCCCGATCTCCCCGAGCACTGCGGTGGAGTGAACCCCGACTGGAGCTGGGCCATCTGATCCTGGTTGTGGCATTGGGTGCCCTTCGGATAGGTGACTTGGCCTCCAGGACTTGGGTGTTCCTTAGATACCTGCCTACTTCAAGCCTCCTTTCCCTGGTTGAAATAACTCAGTTCAATTATTTCCTCCCCTTTAGCCAACGCTGCCCACCCCACCTCCCCCCATCCCCCTTGGCATAGAAAAGTATGTACTGAGTAAATTGCAAGGTTGCAGCGGACAGGGCTATAACGGAAGAACCTTCCTACCCAAACTTTCTGAAGGGAACTTGCCAGATGCTGCTTGTGTGGAATCCTACGATTTTCTGGTGTCCTTGGGTATAATGCCTTTAAAAGTCTGTTTTCCTACTTCTCCCTGACCAGGAGGAGAGGCTTGCAAAGCATTTGTTAAATGTGTGAATGAAAGTGAGTTTTATTTACGAATTAAGGTCGGGACAAAGGCGACAAGAGCCTTCCTCCCTGGCTGTGCAGGTGCTGGGCTACTCTGGGAAATAACTAAAGAAGCGGGTGGTGTTAAGGCTTTGTCATTTTGGAGGCTAGGCCAGGGGGTCCCAGGAGTTCTGTTACAGTGTGGGCAGCTTGGTGAAGACCTTTGTCTCAGGAAGGTGGGGACGAGGATTCACACTCACGGTTCCCAACTGTGGAGCCATCAGCCCGCTGGGAAAACAAAGGTTGCCTTCACTAACAGATAACGAAGATTGGGGAGACAAGTGTAACTGATGGGGGCGGCCGGGGAGGGGGATAAAAGAAGTGACGAACAAAGCTGACCAATCCGAAAGCTAAAGAGAATTAGGTTTAAAATTTAATAGTCATTCTTTTCACTGAGAAACAAATTCCCTGTAGTTTTTAACGCAAAGTAGGATTTTGCTGCAAAAGAAGATCTAAGGACCTTTTTGAAGTTTCCACCGCAAGAAGCAATCATGCCTGGGGAAGGAGGGAAAACCGATATGGAGAGGATTGGCCTCTTCAGTGAGATGGAATACATTACCGTGGGAGATAAATATGTGTCACCATATAATCGTGAGTGTCTTTGGCATTTTTAATAGATAAGTAGCGCGCATTTCCCATACAAAAAATTTGATTTTATTTGAAGAGAATATATATATACACACATATATATCACATGCATACACACATACATACATACATATACATACATACATATATATGTATATACATATATATATATATATATATAGAGAGAGAGAGAGAGAGAGAGAGAGAGAGATTCTCTCTATCTCTGGCTATCCTAGAACCTGCTATGTAGATCAGGATGGCCTTGAACTCACAAAGATTCTCCTGCCTCTGCTTCCTGGGTTCTGGGATAAGGTGTGTGTCACCATACCTGCCAATATTTATTTTTCAATGGTACATATTTTAGAGCATTGAGTTCTAGCGTTGACATTGTGACACTGGGACAACTTGGGACACTGAAGCAGAGTTAAACGTTCAAAGAAAGACCCGTTTAGATTTATTTATTTACTTTTTTATGTGGTTTCGTGTGCCACATGCACGCATTGTGCCCGAGGGGGCCAGAAGGGGCTATTGGATCTTCTGGAACTGGAGCTACAGATGAGTGTTAGCTGCCATGTGGGTGGGTGTGGGAAGCAAATGCTCTTAGCCACTGAGCTGTTATCGCTCAAGCCCCACCTTCATTTATTCTTCGCGCATAATTTTATTTCTTTCCATGGTAAGTTTCTTCTAGAATATTGTGCCTTATATTTTAAAATGTCTACTGGCTTACTTAATGTGTCTGAGTAGTTGGCTGCATGTATGCGCGTGCGCCATGTGTGTATCTGGTGCTCGTGAAAGTCTGAAGGAGATACCAGATTCCCTGGAGACTGAAGTTCTGGGACGTGAACCCCGGTCCTCTGCAAGATCAGCAAGTACTCTTAGCCATCTCTCCTGCCCATGCAGGGACACTATTCTACAGTAATCATTTGGATCCATGAATGGTACCCATTATCACTTTTCTGAAAAAGAAAGTAAGTGCTAACTGCACAGCTGAAAGAATTCTTTTTAAAGAAAGCCATAACAAGAAGATCTAAGCTAGCTGGGTGTGGTGGTGCACTGCAGTAACCCTAGTACTTGGGAGGTGGAGGCAGAAGGATTGGGAGTTTAGGGCCAACCTGGGCTACAGGATATCCCATCCCAGGAAGGGCAGGCAGATCTCTGAATTGGAGGCCGGTTTGGTCTACAGAGTGAGTTCCAGGAACACTAGTGCCACCCAGACATTCCCTGTCTCAAAAATTCAAGTTAAAAAAACAAACCAAAAAACCCACCTCCGCCCAAATGTTCAAATGTTTTCCTGAAAACCTCTTAGATTTTACTGTCGATGCTGCCTTTCATGCAGTTTTTAGTGTTTTACAGCTCAAACTCAAGATGATAATGTTCTTTATTTGTGAAGGACCTTTTAATGAGGCTGCAAGCAAAAATAGACAGATGCTACCCGGGGGAACAAAGGAAATGTCCAATCTCCAAGCAGGGTACTTTGACCCCCAGTTTGTGAGGATTTTTGAGGGGGAAGGCTACTTGAATCTGAATCAAGTGAGGAGACGGTATATGATGGCAGAATCCAAAAAAAATATAGGCAAAGCCTTCATCCCTAGTAGTGGAGAGAAAAAGCCGTAAGTATTTTGGGAAACTGTCCTGACTATCTTCTTCTTTCTCTCTCTAATTAATTTTCGGTGGGATGCAATTTTGAACTATGATTGTCTTTAGGGGAGACAGTTATTTAGGTGGTACAGACAGACAGGCAACTTTAAATAGATCTTTATCGTATTAGTTTTTTATTATCCCAGTCACTGTTCTCTATTAGTTTATTTAATAAAAGCCCACTAAATAATGAAGATACATTAAAAAATTTGCAAAAGTGATGATGAAAAATACCTTGGGTCACCATGTTTATACCCTTGTATATTTTTTCTGCTTATAAAAATTATAAATACTAATGTGGAATGAAGAAAAATGCTTTTTTAGACAAAGAAAATAATTTATCACTGATAGATTATTTTTTTCTGATAGATTATTTTTAAATAATTGTGATGATACAATCATGGCATTTACCAGTATTTGGATTATGGTAACTGTCAAAGTGAAAATTCTTTTTTTCCTCTTCTGATTAAATCACAAGACTGTGCTATATGCTATATTATATTATATAACTGAAATTTTAAATATGACTTGCATTCACACTTTATAAGTCTGATTTTTCCCAGTTTAGAATTTATGGTAGATGAGGACTGACCAAAGTCTAATTTCATTCTTACTTATTCAAAGTTAGTGAAACTTTATTTCTATAGTTCAGACTTCCATCTGACAGGTGATCTTTTATAAATGCAATATTTTCATTAATTCTTTGAGAAATTCATACAATATAATTTTCCTTCCCCTTTCCATCCTCCATTTCTCTACCCCCCTCAACCTCATGCCCTCTTTTTCTTTCTAAGTAACCTGAAGAGTTCAATTTGTGCTGCCCATGTACTCCTAGATGTGGGGCCATCTGCTGGAGCTTAGTGGACTCACTAGGGACCACACCTTAAAGACAACCAATTCTCCTTTCCCAGAAGCCACACTGTCCACAGTTTCTCAGTGAGGGGTGGAAACTCATGAGGTTTTCCCCTCCCATGCTTCAGTGTAGATCGGCTTGGTCTTGTGGCTGTCTCGTATAGGCAGCCACAAATGCTTTGAGTTCAGTAGTGCAGTGGTCCTGTCCTGTCCAGGAACACTGTTTTGCTCTGGTCCTCCCTAACCCCTGACCCTTACAATGTTTCCACCTTCTATTCTGAGATGGTTCCTGAGCCTTGCAGTGAGGGGGTTGCACACATGTCCCACTTGTGGATAAGCACTGGGGCCTATTTTCTGCTCTTTGATGAGTTGTGATTTTCTGAGTTAACCACTGTCCACTGCACAAAGAAATTCCTCTGTTGGATGTCTGAGAACTTTATTAATATATGAGTATAGAGATAGAAATTTGGAGAGCAGTTTGATCCTATGTACATTTAGCAGAATATTAGTCATAGGTTCACCCCCAGGAACGTGAGATCCCTACCATGGGTTCTTGGCTAGATTTACTGTACCAGGTATGTTTCCTCTTGAGGAGTTGACCTCAAATACAACCAAAAGTCAGTTGATTATTCCTATGATATTCATGCTACTATTGTACCTATGGGAATATCTTGCCACAGTGGTCATTCTTATAGTTCAAAGCTAGATAAGACGGCTGGTGACATTTTGCCCCATAACAGGCTACATGACATCTTTTGGTACTGAGAGCTGGTCATCAGGAAGGAAGCTGCCTAGTCAGTACCAGCTTAATTTCTCCATATTTTATGATTCATGTATGTTTAGCAATAGGGTCTAAACCATCAAGTTCTGATGGACATCCAAGAGCAATGGCAAGAACCTGTATTGTTTTGTGGGACTCTCTGGGACAGACCTGACCCAAAAGTTGATGGGAGGTATCCCACACCTGAAACTTGGCTTTTTATTTGGTAACCTATGACTTCTGGGAGGAAGATTATCCCTTATAAATTCTTTTTATAAATATGTATTAATCATAGAACATGGAGAAATTAAGGTGGTACTGTCCAGGAAGCTTCAT